TCATTATTATATTATTCTTTAACATTATTATGAGCATTATTTTATTATTATTATATTATTATTATTATTATTATCATTAACATTATTATTAACATTAAAATTATTATTCTATCTCTTGGGTTTTGCACTTGAATCTGCAGCCCGATACAGCATTTTCCAACACTTCTCCCTGCCACGAAAAGGTCCTCTATTGAAAGGATCACTGCTGTCAAATCAATTTCATGTACATTTTAAAATTAAGCAGGAAGTCTACACTTTTTTGTGTTGAGAAAGAATAGTCCTGAGGAAACAAAAATATTTGAAGAATTACACACATGAAACAGCCACACATGAAACAGCCACACAACATTCTTTCAACCTAGCTGCGATGAGTGGTGCAAATATGTTTGTGTTCGTCTTAAGAAAGAAATAAGTCCATCAAAACATATGAATCAGGGTGAAAATTTTGCCCACTTTGGGTTTCTATTCATGTGCAAGCCAACAGCCAGAATGACTGTTGTTCTTTGGGTTTTTTTCGAGTTTCTAGTTTGTTTTTCTCTGTTGTCTTTCACATTGCGTATTCAAGAATTTGATTGATCACAAAGAATGATTGGTATTCTGAAGTATTCCCGCAATGAATTATGCTTACTTTTGAAAAATATAATTTCATTTGTTAAGAACCAGGCTTTTTTTTCAGCTGTGGAAGAATGACACAGTTTGTGTTGAGTGGGTCCACACTAGATCTTTACAGCTGTCCATCTTGCAGTCTTTCTTTTCTTTTTTTTTCTCAACGTGCCCCTCAATGCTTGTAATTTGGCCAGTCACTACAAATCTTCTATTTTCTCTAAGTGTTTGGTTTTATTATTTGGTGTGCCCTATCTTGAATGTTTAGGAGTGTTTTTGATTTTTGGTTTATTTTATAATGCCTATTTCCTCCCAATAACATAACATTTCTTCAGCCCAGAAGGTGGTTGGATGTTCATTGGGAATAATATTTGTAAAAGCTCATTTTAACCCTTTAGAATAATTGGCTTTTTCAGATGTTTATGAAAATGTTATCCTTGAAAGATGATGTTGAATTCCAAGTTGCAGTAATTAAAAAAAAATACTCTAAACATTGTCACGGTTTAAGCCTTCTATTTGTAGTGCAGTTACTCTCTTGTTTTAACAATTATTATCAGACAGATGATGGGGGGTTTGGTATGAACTGCTCTGCACTGGTCTTTTCTTTATGTGTTCAAAGTTAGTTATGTTATCTGTTCTAGCTTACTTAAATACGATAGCCATCATACATAAAATGCAAGTTGATTATTGTTGACTGTTTGTCTTGATCTTTTTGGAGAGCTGCGGTTGTTGTTTCTGACTCCAGCTGCTGACAAAACGCCAACGTCATTGGATTATGTTCTTAATAGACTCACTGTTTTCCTATTTTCTGCAATTCTGTCTGTTTTCCTGATTCTTATTAAAACTTTACATAATGTGTCTCTGCCTAAAGAAAGGTACCTAAAGTTGGATTTTGACAATATTGAGTTAAGGGGTGTACCTTATAGGAAACTCAATGCTGAACAGTGGTTTTTTGAATTTTTTAATTATCTCAAGTAGTTTTTGAGATATTGCACATTTTGTGAGGTAGGATATAAAGATGTAATTTTGAGAAAATTAGCTTTTAAGTTTAGAACACATGAAAAAAAAAATGATGATACAAATTGTTTCTAATGTTTCTAATTCATGGAAAATTCATCTCCAATATTGGCACTCAGTTGACATCAATATCATGATTAGAATTCAATGGTAAAACATAGCGGGGAAGAGAAAACATGCTTCAAGAATAGATTTTAACACAAGCAGTTTTCATTATCTCTTTAAAAAATACCCTAGTCTCAAAATTATTCAAAATAAAACATTTAGAAGTGAAATCAATGAAAACCCTTTTGACACATTGTAAAAAAATGGTGGAACTATAAATTTGTTTTATGGAAACACATTTTCTTCAAAAAAGTGATTTAAGCGGGCTCCATTGTATGTCAGGGAGGAGGGGACTGGGGCTTTTAACATAAATTCATAACAAATTACTACTGTCTTTCCCAAATTAATTAAGGCATCAGAAACGAGTTTTGAAAAGAGAAAAAGTCTGATTTTTAAACAGATCTCTTCAGGTCTTCTCCACTGTCCAGCACCAAAAGACCTGACTCCATCTACTGCGCAGAACACAAACAGCACTCTTTCACTGTTTGGCCTTCTCTTCCTTCTTCTCGATCAATGCCTCCAGTCTACGGTACCAGGCAAATCGGGACAGCACATCCACAAACATCAGGGTACCAATGAAGACAAGAGCAGCCCCAACCCAATGAACCATCGTGAACGGATTGCGGAAGTAGATGATGGAGAACACCAGGCTGATAAACTTCCTCAAGGTCACCACCAAGGTCACCGTCAGGGAGGTACACTCTGTCGTAAGAGTGAACACACTCTTGATGCACACAAATCTAGAACATGGTCAAGGGAAGTCGGTTTGGTTTTTGTTTTTTTTTCACTTTAAGATTTTTGCAGTTAAAGTCTATTAAGTTCGTGTTCAAGTTTAATGTACCTCCAAAGAACATCAATGCAACCACAGCCATTTCCAGCAAGCAAAAGTAAGAAAGTTGACTGAAATTACACTTGAATAACAAAGTAGTAGGGCCTACAAATACCACCTTGTAAGTATACACTTTTTGGAATATGCAAGAGAATAATTCTAGTTTTCAAACATAAAGAATACCAGATGTACATTTTACATGAAACAAAAGGTAAACCTTATAAAACAAAGGATTTAATTAGTAAAATAGCCACTGTGAAACAGACACTGTCCACCTTTAAAAATGATCTTTAAGGCTGTAAATCTAATACAAAAAACTAGCAAAGGATACTGTGTGGTGGTGTTGAAGAGGAGCCACAGGAGTGCCCAGGGCACCGTGACACCAATCACAGGCACTTCATAGGGATCTGGGGAGGAAAGAAAACACATCTGGTCAGAGAAAATAACTGCGGAGAAACTCGGACACAACCAAGTCACCGGGCCAGACATACACTTTCATTGAAACCAGCAGTTTGATGAGCTACTGGAGCTTTTTCAACTGATAATTGCAGGTGCCAGTGTGCACTGAGCAAAAAAAGGCCAGTTCGCTTAAAGGCAACCCCTGCCATGTGTTGCGCGGTGAAAATGAGCACTTATCAAAATAATTCAAGCTAAGAAACCAACATTCTTCTGCCCGTTGGACAATTTTAATTGAATTTTCTTTTTTGGGATGAAAACCTTGCACACCCACTTAAAAACACATTTCTCTGTGAATTTTACTGAAAAGCTTTGATATAAGGCACAAAAGAAAAGTAAATTTGCAGTTTCCCATGACACTCAAGCTTTGGAAGTCACCAAACTTTGAGGGTCATTTTCTCTCTAATTTTACCTCTGACACCAGGCAACCCCCACCTCCTTCAATTACAAATATCTCAACTTCTACTCATGATAGATAAGTGTTTATTTTCATCAAAAGAACAACAAATGAACAGGCTTTAGGGTTATTCCAAAACCCACATATACTCAAAAATTGACAAGCGTCGGATTCCACTGTGTCGTGACACACTTGACTAATTGTTACACAGACCAACACAGAACTCCTTACCGCCTTACATTATTCTATGTGGATCACTGAACAGCAGTTAGGGAAAATTTAATACTGTGTCATCACTGATATTCCACTCCTTGAGTACTTATGCCACCCTCACATACTCACAGTCACACATAGACATTGTTGTGGGGCATATCTTTATTACTCAAGCAAATAGTTTGATTTTGTTTTCTCTACCTGAAACATTAAAAGGCATGCAACAAGATGCCAACCAGTTCTGTGAATTATGCAAATCCATATTTCTGATTTGTGTATGATAGTTCAAAATGTGCCGAAACATTGTCTCTGCTCTGCTACTGATCAGACATATGTGTCCCCGACATCCATTAAGAGTTAGGCAGCCACAACATCTTCCAACCACTCACAAAGACTTACGCTCTCCCCTCCTCTCCGCCCCCCCCCTCCTCCTCATGGGCAATTGCAACACTGACCTGACTGGGTAAACTGTTTAAAGCTGTTGTAGATGTCCGGCATGATGAACAGGAACAGCGGCAGCGGCAGAAAGTGCTGGTCAAGACAAAAAAAATTACTAGGTAAAAACAACTTCACTCATCACTCCATCATTAAAAAAAGAAATTCCCAAAGAGTAAAACTAGTAGTGAACTATTCTTTAACTTACATTGACAATAGAGTAAATCTATATGCATAGCAGACATTATTCCATGACTACAGACAATAGGGCTCGTGCTGCATTGGTTTACAGTTTATCACTAAATGCTAGTGATGGCATGCATGATGAATGAAGTGAATGTTTCAAGAAAATGCCAAGTCCAGTGATTATAAGGAAAAAATCAATGATCTGCCCCCTGTTACATCATCTTCAGTCTCTTCAGGCATTGAATAAGTTAGAACAACTTATGCACTGAAGGATGTTTAACTCTTACTTTTACTCTTGAGAAGTTTTTGACATATTTCTATGCTTCTCAGTTCATTCCGTGACCGCGTTTATACTCCTAGACAGCAAAACAAACATTGAAGGGTTCCAACTCACAAAGAAGGTGAACATCTTAAATGTTTAGGATTCTGCATGAGACAACACAAGCATTTTTTGAGAAGCAGTTTTAAGGGTTTGTGACAGACAGTCAAAAACAAAGGCACACATTCGGCTTGACATTCATAATTGTAACTACTGTGTAACATGGGTTTTTTTCCACGCTAATTCAATTCACAAACTCTTAACAAATTTGTGAAATCAAGATATTTGAAAAATGTTAAAAGAGGCACTACTGCATTGAAACGCATGACACTGGGCGATTCAAATCACAAATTCAAAATATTCACGAAAAACAAAATTGGCCAAACAAAAATCACCAGTACTTCGACTTATGCTGAGGATCATTGATTGAAGGCTTGTTTCAAGAAAACCGTGAGTCATGAGCCACAACAATATGTTTCACACATGAGTAAAACAATTTCAAACAATTTATGTTCCTCCATTTCAAGGAAAATCAACCTCAATTACGAGCAGACAGAATTTCAAAGGAAACGAAAATAGAACAGAGATGTAAGTGTTGGAGCGTTCAATGAATAGGTCAGTTTTTTTCAGAACGTGGACTTAACGATTTATTGAGATACATTTTATCATAGACACAACGTCTTTTACCTAAGACCAAGGACAATATCTTGTACAAGAAATTTGTTGCAAATATATTTATATGTTAATTATGATATGATAAATTTGCCTACAGCATACAGATGGAGAAGAGCCCTAATCTTTTTTCTCAAAATGACATGTAAAACACTCATAGGCCTAGATTTATGTGTTGATTCCATCAGTTCTAATTTCTTCACAAAACTCCATGAATGCTTCAAAATAGTCAATCTATACCAAATTGGGTTTTTTTGTCATTTTATCAACAAATTTTTACCCAACACCAACCTTAGAAATAAAAATTTAGCAGTATAGCTATATAACTAGGCGCTTCATTTGCACCCCAATCACAGAAACAAGACTGCTCCAACCAGTCAGGAAATGGAGTGAGCCATACTCACATTGTAGAACAAGGCCTCCGAGGGGTGTTTGCCATACTGGGCGTACGTCTGTTCCTGGAAGATGCCCATCCTGGCAGACAGGAACAGAGACAGGACCAGGAGGAAAAGTCCTGCCAAGCCGAAGAAAGAGAGAACAAGATTGGATGAATAACCCAACAAAATTACAACGACATTAATTAGTAAAGTTGGAACTCAACATTCACAATACAAAAAGTTAGTTTGTTGGTTTGAGTGAATAGAAGCACACTGACACATTTAGTGATAAGAAAAACCAAGACAGACAGACAGAAACAACACAGTTTAAGTTAAAAAAAGTAAGACCTACCAGTAGTACCCTCCAACCATCAGCAGTGCAAAATTTTAAAAAAGTAAAAACAAAACCGCATCAGAAATAATTTAATCTCAAACAGATTTTAAAAGACAGTTAGCACAAACACACAAAGAGCTTACGGACAAAGTGCACCTATAGGATTAAAAGGGGAATTATCATTCAAAATATACCTCAAGAAATGCTCTTACCCAGAACTGTACCAGAGTTTTAGGCGCATAGCACACAACTCGTGTATAAGTCTCTTCCCTATAACTTCTTTGTGTGTAAAGAACCAACAACTAGAAAAGATACATTTGCGATGGATCTATAAGATGCATTAAGCCCCCGAAGAAATTGAAAACTTACTGTTTTTAGAGGATTAAAAATGGCATTGAAGAGCCTGTTAGAAGTGATTGCCCAAAAAATCCATAACACCTATTTTTTCACAAAGATTTGACTTGTTTGATTTCTTCACCTACATATCTTTAAATTGTTTGCGTCGTCTGAAAGTAGATTTCCCTTGCCATTGCTACTATAATTCAATTAATTTGTCATCGCACCATTGACAGAAGGCAAACCTGGGAATAATGAATAGACATGTACCTTGACATTACACTTACCCAGTGTATACCCTAATTTTCCTCCATTTTCACGTTTGAATGTTTAATGTCACAATCTTGAAACACCACTTCCAATTATTCTCAATTTTAGTAGTTTTAGCATAAATTTCTTTCATCGTGGCCCTCATCACGTTCTTGTAGAATCATCGCATTGATGATTTTTTTAGATCTATACAAATTTGAAAAAAAAGTTTCTTTCTGGTGGTAATTTTCTGTGTAAAATCACAAGATAGTATACTTGATCAACACACAGACTTTCCAGCCATGGCAACAATCCGAAGAAATACAGAAAGAATGAGTGAATGAAAGAAAGGAGGAAACTGGCACAAAAAGTTTGTGATCATGACTAGCCAGATTTTGATCAATCCGAAGGTCAAAATGTACTGCTGACCAACAAGCAATAAATGCACAGGGGCCTAGTGGGATGATGGCCGATTGCAGGAAATGCACAATCTGGCAGGTCTCTACCACATTAACTTATTGCCGAGAGAATCACTGTAAATACCTGGGACTTATACAAGACAATACGAAGGCGAGTACAAATCCTTTGCTACCTTGAAAGGAATTCACTCACAGACTTTTTTGGATGGGACCAGAGACAATCCAATTTTTCACTGATTGACAAAAACAGTTATATCACTGGAAGCTTGTGCATTTATTATCACTCTTTCCCGGGGAAGTGGAAAGACCATAAACAGTCTGCCCACATGAGAGAAAACTTTGATTTTCACAAGTAGTTTAGAAGCAAGGGAAGAAACTCAGCCCTCGTCATTACAGGGAAATGACAGAGTGTGGTTGCACACTATCACTCTGTGAATGTGCCACAAGACCAGACCAGCAGGAAAATAAACAAAAGAAAAGGTGTTAGAGGGGCAATAAGTCACAAGGGTAAGATTGGTCAGATTTTATCAAAACCAGAGCACATACAATCTAGACAGATACCCAAAAAGTCACTGTCCCCTATCTTGTCCACACGAAGAAACAAAATATGTATGTCATATGCAGCCGCCTTCAGACCATTTTAGTGTGCATTGCATAAACAGTGGCCAGACTCGTAATCGTGAGGTTGCTGAATCGGGGTTCAATCTTCAGGCCCAATGTTGTGTCCTTGGAAAAGGCACTTTACACAAATTTCCCTCATTTCACCCAGGCGTAAATGGGGAAACTGGCCTCGGACAGTGAAAGATCTTGTCTGTATGTTAATGTTTTATTTAACGCCTATAAAAAATAGGCAGCTTGCACTGTATTCTTCCCAAGAAGATAACACTATATCAAAATGCTATCTGGTCGGCTGGCGTAATAATGTAGATGGTAAGGCACATAGAGTTTGCTGTTGTGCAGGAATTTGCTCTGAACAAACATTATCTATTATTATTATTATTATTATTAAGTCCAGATCTTTCCAGTACCTCCGTACAACTAATCTTTTCTCACTATGACATTCCAAGACTCTTCTACTAAGGTATCTCAAGAGCAGCATACACAACATACAAGTTTTCCTAACTTACAAGTGGTTCACTGCATAAAACATTCAACTACCATGATGGAGGCAGTATTAGTTCAACCCTATGCAAGGAGCTCCACAACTCTACAGAAGCCTGAAGGACCTGCGGCGAGCAACATTTTTCGCATTAGAGACTGGGATGAAAGAGAAGAAGAAGTAGATGGCCACTTATGGAGGTTGGGCTTCTCTGATGACAGAAAAAGAGAAAAAAAATACAATTAAAATGATGTGAGTAGTAAAAGACAACATTCACCTGTCAGCCAAATGAAGTAGTCGTAGGCCTCATCCCCCGTGAGGCTTGCCAGGTCTTCCTGAGAACACAAGACAGAAAGCGGAGTGAAAAAAAAGCACATCAGCACCATAACAGCCATTTAGCAATGAAAAAAAGCTAAGTCAAAAATGAGACAGGACAACAGATGGAGAGCGAAAATTTTGGAAAACAGAATATTGGTGGCCAGCTGTTCAGATGTACTAAGCCCAAACTTTTGATGGAGTTTTTTTTTTTCATTTTCTTTATCTGTGGTATCAGCTGCAAGTTTCAAGAAATATTTTGTTGAAATTCAAATTCTACATGTTGAAAAACGACAGGATAGATACATCAATTAGGTTCAATTGTTAAAGAAATAAAGGTCGTTTTTTTTCTGGCCTGAACAATTTTGCTTTATGGGCTTTGAACATTTGAACAATTTGCCGACGATGTGAATTTTATACAAACACGGAGCAAAGAAGGTCGAAAATCCTCTTAGTGGCCATTTCTGGAACAAGTGTACCCTTAGTGTGGACAGCTTTACCAAACAGTTAACCTTACAATAAAAGCTTGACTGATCATCATGTACAGACCAGTCACTCTATGAAATCTAAAAATCAGGATCTCAGGGTGGAAAAAAAAAACAGTCCCAATTAAAATGGGATGAGTGGCAGGTCTACATGTACCTGACAACAACACGTCTTATGGTGTAGCGTTTATGCACTTCGTCTTCACATGTAGAAGATTCAAGTTCCATTTCCATAAGAGGAAAATTATTAGAGTATCTTGCTTTATACTGGAGAGGTGTATCTCTCTCAGCATGTATTGGCCTTGACAGGCAGGAACGACACCCATCTCCTTTATGGTCTAAATTGAGGGTTTTGTTGCTAGGGTAACTGATGGATACGTTTCGCCCTGTAATGTTGCTGATGTCCCTGAACAAAAAGATACCACATACATTATGTATATTAGCAGTTGTGAATCAGAAATATGCTTCAAGAGCATTAGAGAAATGTATATGTCAGTAGAGCCTCTTTTCTTTTTCCTTTAAAAGAACAACAGCAAAGTATTATAATGTATTAAGTACAAGAAGGTTACAGGAGAATTCCTCGATCAACTTTTGACTTTTTACTTAGTAAGAGTTTTACTGCACTTGCAGCACAATAAGGTCATATAAGAGCCAAAGATTAGAGGCTTTACAAGAGAGTAACAAACACAAAAAAGGAAGAGAGATAAGGACAATAGATGTTTGATAGGAAAGAAAGAACAAACCACACCAGAGCACCCGCCAACCACCTGCTGTCAGCTTTTGATTCAAGTAGTTTTCCCATGAAAATAATTACAAAACACAGTAACTAACCTTTTCAAAACCAAATCAAAGACCATTAAAACATAGCTGGCTTAGACTTAAACTCATGTGTCACAATTCTGGAAAAGTCTTCAAAATATGAGAAAGAAAAAAAATTGATTAACTTTTTCAAGGAGACGCAACTTTAAAATTCTTGGGTCTATGATTTTGAAGAGAAAAACTCTACTGCAGACTAAACTTGCTAACATGGAAGGAACGTGTGGCTTGGCACCAGAATCTGGTTTTAAGAATTGATAAAATTTGCACCAGAATCATAACACGCGAATTTGATTCTCAGCAGGGAATCTGTTGTCTTACCTTTTGATTGGCTGAAGCAATGGTGCAGGCAACTATACCGATGGAGATCAGGACCACTGAGAGATACTTGGTCATCTTGTACCTGAGTACAATACAAGGACAAAGAGAGAAACAAGAGAAAAGATCAGAAAGGAAAAAAACAAAAAAACAGTATGATCCAAATGAGAAATTGCGATTGTGCCCATCAATAGCTTAGTTGGAATTAGGTTCAGGTGATGTCGGTAGTCTAGTGGTTAGGCAACTGGACTCGTAATTATGAGGTTGCGGATTCGGAGGTTCAAGCCTCGGGCCCGACGTTGTGTCCATGAGAAAGGCACTTTACATGAGTGTTCCTCACTTCACCCAGGTGTGAATGGGTACCCGGCCATAAACAGTGAAAGATCTTGTTGGTATGTTAGTATTTTAGCGCCTGTAAAATGGCAGCTTGCACTGTATGCTTCCCAAGAAGTAAAGATTATTCTAGAAAGTTATCAGGTCTGCTGGGGATTGTAAAGCACATGCATGAAGCTGGCTGCTCAGCGGGAATTTGCACTATACAAATGCTATCCATGATCTATTATTATTATCATTATTATATTATTATTATTATTATTATTATCATTATTATTATCATTATTATTATTATTACTATTATGCTGGACTACCGTGCGGATGACCCTGGTTTGCACCCCCACTAGCTGTCAGTGAACTACAAGAATTTTTAAGAGTCTCTACCCACTTGACTCTATGCTATCAGAAACAGAAGTTTAATTTAGATTCTTTACTTCTTAGATAACCTTTTAGTGCTTATAGAGGTATTAAACCCATTGCTTTTTGAAAGCAACAGTAAAACAGAGGCTGAAGTCGGTGACAAAAAGGGGGGAGGAAGCCGTGCTTGATCTGCTCAACTCCAATACCAAAGAAAATTTCCGTGCATTCAGCAATCAGGGCAATGATGACACTGAATAAATGAGACATACATCTGTGTTGTACAGTCTGCTGTAGCTTATAAACCACTGTGGCTTACTTGTGACAAAAGTTCAGATTTTTTTTTTATTTAGTGGGTGTGGCTTATATACAGGTGCACTCAATTACCTAAACTTTACAGTAGTGTTTTACATTTTAGTTTTAGTAAGAGTTTTACGGCCCTCGCAACTGAATAAGGTCATATAAGTGCCAGAAGATTAGAGGTGTTACAAGAGAGTAACAAATATAAAAAAGAAGAAGTGGAGAAAAATACGATCGATGTTTGAAAGGATAGAAGAAGCATACCACACCAGAGCACCCGCCAACCACCAACAGTGTTTTACATTTCGTATCAACACAATGTACAACATATAAAAAGCAGGTTGCTTTGACTCTGCCAATCAAAACCAACGTGGACTGTGAGGGATTCATGCCTACAGAAAAAATTTTTAACGATACTCACTTTTTCTTCATAATAAGGACACCCAAGATCAAACTAGCAATCAGGGAACCCTGGAACAACAAATATTGACAATTGAGTTTGACACGCAGAAGCATCAAATATGAATCTGAGACACCATAGCTCATAGCATAATATGAACCAAAGACCTTGACCGTTGACCATCAATAATTTATTTATAGAGGCACCAGCCATCCATGTCCAGGCACTGTTTTAGCCTCTTTTTCCTGTCTATGGATTAATATTCTTTTGTCTAATTTGGCTCCACTTCCATGCACCCTGTATCCATTATCCATGGTTCTCAACCTGGAAATCGCCTATAATTCGCTGTAATTGTACCCCCCCCCCCCCCCTTATTGTCATCATACACGTTACCATCGGAAAGGATGACATTTTTATCTATAACACAATTAAGGGCAGTATTAATGCTAATCTAAGAAAAATAGAAATAAATACATCAACTAAATAAATAAACAATTATTTTTTTTAAATAAATGAATAAATCAATCAATAGGCAAAGAAAAAGAGAAACAGAAAGAGAGGGGGAGGAGAGAGAAGAGACAGAAAGACAGAGAGGAGAGAGAGAGAGGGAAGAAAATATATAACATATTTTTAATAACAAAACTGAAGTGTGTGACTCATGCTTGCTAAAAAAAAGTATAACAAAAAAGTTTTAAGAGACGGACCTCCTGAGAAGACAATACTCACAGCCCTGAAAATCATGTGTAGAGGCATAGCTATGTTGAATCCAAGTGTGAAATTGTTCAAAGTCTGCACCACAAAGAAGAAAGTCACCATAACAAGGTAATACCTGAAACATAAACAGAGAAGAGACCTTGAAATGTAATGGGAATAATGTCAAATCAGACCGATAAATGACCTTAGTATGAATTCATTTTCGTGTACATTTTAACTCTTTCAGTAGGCAAGGGATGTCTCAATTTTACTCACAAAATTTGAGGGTGTTACCTCAAAACAGCTACAGTTAAGTCAAATATTGATGGATTTGTTTGTATGAGCACTCAAACTATTCAAAATTACACAGAAAATCACAATATGAGTGAACATAGGGGGTAAATATAGAACAGGACAAGGCGTAAATCATGGGGTTGACGACATTGGCACCCCCAAAACACCACGTAAGTGGCGATCCAGAAACAAAATGTTAAAGGACAGACATGGCAACCAAGAACTACTCAATTCAACAAAGGAACTGAAAATTAAATCAAACTCAATCAACTTTGGTGATTTCTTATGGGCCTAAATTCCAAACGTCGTGCAAAAACAGCAAAGTTACCCTTCACTCGACTCAACACTTAAGATAAAAGCACTACATAGCAAAATGCTCCTACTTGATGGGTACGGACGTCGGCTTGGTGAGAAACTTGGTGGTGAAGATAAGTCCTTCAATGCAGTTGAACAGGAAAGCAGAAAATGTGATAAGATTTCCACAGTTAGGAAACACTCTGCAAATTTTTTAAAAAGAAAGAAACACAGTTAAAAATAAGTTTTAACTCATATGTATAATAATCAAGTAATTATCAATAAATGTCGAACAGATGAAAATGAAAACACATCATGTGTCAGAGAGAGAGAGAGAGAGAGAGAGAGAGGGGGGGGAGGGGGAGAGGGAGAGGGAGAGGGAGAGGGTGTGAGAGAGAGAGAGAGAGAGAGAGGGAGAGAGAGAGAGAGAGAGAGAGAGAGAGAGAGAGAGAGAGAGAGAGAGAGAGAGAGAGAGAGAGAGAAAGAGAGAGAGACAGGCAGGCAGACAGACAAACAGAGAAGGATGGAGGCAGGTAGGCAGGCAGTTTTATCACGTCAAATACAACAACAGTGGGAACTCAACAGGCCTATGAAATAATAAAATGTCTAGTTGGACAGGTTTACCATTATCTTAGTTCTCAAAATATTCATGGATGTTATATCATTACAAATCAATCATGATCTGGGATCGAAAAGCCTTAGATAACTGAGATGTGGTATCATCATCTATGGTAGAAAAACTAGATACAGAACTTCAACAGTATTTCACCACAAAGCTTTGAATAGCAAGTACTCTAAAGGTGTAATTATGTGATGATGATTTGGTATGCTGGAATGATGCTGGACTCTCATCAATGAATCTTAAACCTAACAACAACAAAAACTAAATTTTGATCTCAGAAACTTTCTCAAGTTCACAAACTGTGGTTTTTATAACTATTTTCATCATACAAACAAAATTAAAATCAAAAAGTAATCTTCATAGCCAGAAAAAAAAATTCCATTTACAACAATTAAACAAAAAATTGGTAAACTTGATGTAAGCTCAAACTCAAAGTGATTATAGTCTTGGGACTCACTTTGTGATTTCCTCCAGGAAGACGACATTGCTGCAGCAGCCTACAAACACAAGAGTGATGGGGAGTGCCGGATGCATGGTGACAGTGAGGCCTTCTCCTGAGATTGTCACTGCTTCACCGCTGCAAAAACTGTTAGGACAGAAATATCCAAAACACTTAAAATAGTAATAATACAGTCAAATACAAATGAGTTAATGCCGTCAGGGGAATGAAAAAAAATCAGTTCATTCGAATTTCAACTAAACAGCTGGGACCTGTAAAAAAGAAGAGGTGCTGGGACCCGAGAAAAAGATCAACTTAACCCCGAAGATCAACTCTAAGCGGTTCAACACAAGTGCAGTCGATTTTCATACAGTAGTCTCCGCCTAAGGTCCCACCGCTTATGATCCCAGTTCGCTTAAGATCCTGCTGTTTTAAGAAAACAGAATTTTTATTATACAAAATTCACCCCTAAGATCCCACTCTGAAGGTCTACATTAGGCTACAATCAGCTAAGATCCCGCATTTCAGATCATAATTCATGGAAAAAAAAAAAACGGGCGCGCATAGCACATCAACTAAGAGCCCGTACTTAAGGACAGGCAAGCTAAACTTTAAAAAGTACGGCTAGCCACTTCGTTCTTGTAATTCTAGATCTCTAGACCTAGATCAGATTAGAAGATTAAAAAGACACTTGACTGAGGCTAGTTTAACTGATTCGGTACGTTCCACCGCTGACATTCGGCCGCTGACAGCGGCTATGGGTTTTTCCGCTATCGCCATTCGACCGCTGTGAGCGGCTCGACGAAATCCAAAACGAAAGTGAAATTTTTAAACATAGTTTCTACTTTTTTTTTCTGGTAAATGTTTTACACCGCTCACAACTGCATACATAAGGTCATATGAGAGCGCAGGCACACCAAACACTTTCAGTTGGTAGAAAATTTTGAAGCCTACTCTTATCAACTTTGGACAACCAAGGGCTCTTTAACGTGAACAGCATGCACACAAGACCTCCGAGATTTTTCGCCCTTGTCCAAAAAGGCTGTAGATCTTTCCTACCAGAAGATCACGGGCATGGCTGAAAGACAGTAGTAAGGAGGAGCCAAGGAAAAGCAGTAGAAAGCCTGCAGAAAGAGTCAGGAGCCCAGAGGAGGGGGCAAAGGAGGTGAGAGGATGGGGACAAAGAGTGGAAACGAAAGCAGACGAAAAAACATTGCTAGAGAGCAGGAAAGGAGGTGAAAGGAGACAATTTTAGAGAACAAAAGTTTTCCCTCGTTTCCAGGATTCTAACCCAGGACCTTTGAATGAGAAGCAAACACCTTAACCTCTAGGCCACGAGAGGCCCCTCCTACTTTTAAAGTTTCGAAAGAAAGTATAACTAACTTGTAAACAAGCCTACGAGCACGAAAATCGATCGAAGTTACGTGAAATTCTTGCAAAAATCATTGTTTTGTTGTGGCTATGCAGGTACGAAGTAAGGGTAAAGACAACATGGAGCCTTGAATAATAAAAAGGCCCTTCAGTGAAAAATATTCAACTAAATTTGTGAAATACTTGCATAATTTGTGCTAGGATGATAGCTCTACAATTTTGCATTGATTCCTATGGATGATAAATTGTAGGGCTGAGAAAATTAGGTAAGTTAAAGTTTTCGAAGATGTGTAGCGCAACTTTTTTCCTCATTCATTATTGTCTGAGGGAAAATACAATACATTCAGAATACGAAGTGACTCGAGTCTGAATAGACAAAAAATTATATTCGGACTCTGAATTGAGTCCAGCATGACGTCTGTTCCAACTTCCGACCCTTGTTCCTTTTTTTTTTTTTTTTTGGTCCCTTGCCCATTTCTAGGATATTGACGCCATCTGATTAGTAGAAAAATGTGCGTATGAGAGTGCCCAATAATGTATAACGTACAAATTTGTTATGACATATAACTGTTACATATAGATGTTTAAGATAATTATAGATGTTTGTGAAGGCTCTGAGAGCAATGATGACCTTAGAAATGACGGTGATGGTGGTGGTAAGTGATGATGTGGGATGGTGCTTACGTTTATAATTATAAGAAAACATGCTTCTGTTATTTGGTTGTTGTTGTTGTTTAAAAAAAAATAATGTTAGCGTTAGTCCTATCTTCCTCTGCTCTGATGAGTCACGAGGGATGTGGGCACCCGCTATCCCGTTCCCTACTGGAACCATCTTTAATGTCACCGTGAAGTTCCGAAATGGTGGGCACAGTCTCTGCTATGGTGACCTTGTTAGTATTAGCCTATTCTAGCGGACCAAGACAAGTGAAGAGAGGACCTTAGTAGGTAGCTAGTACAGTGGTAGAGATTATTTTTGGGGTTTCGTAAGGGGTTTGCAGGCAGCAATTCACAATTGGGTTAAAGACTTTATACTTATTTATATATGAAGTTGCGGAGATTCCGACACAGGATCCTCGAACCCGAGTCGAGAGGGAACAATTTACACACAATATTGTATCCCCTCGCCTCGGGGGGAGCGGCCTCAAACTCCCCAATCAAGCACCCTGTGTCTGCATCTACACGGTCTCGTCATACATTTGTGTAATTTCCAAAATGACGTTTGAAAATGAATCTTAAATTTGACAAATCATTAACTGTGTATATGCTACCAGCTAAATCTAGATAGATGTGCTTTGGTTGGACAAGTTACAGTCTGACAATAGTGGACGAGTGTGTGTGTGTGTGTGTGTGTGTGTGTGTGTGTGTGTGTATGTGTGTGTGTGTATGTGTTTTGTGTGTGTGTGCTTGCGCGCGCGCGCGCGCGCGTGTGTGTGTGTGTGTGTGTGTGTGTGAGTGTGTGTGTGTTTGTGTGTGTGTGAGAGAGAGAAAAAGAGAGAGAGAGAGACAGAGACAGAGACAGGGAGGGAGGTAGGGAGGGAAAAGGAAAGTAAGACGTGGATTAGGAGAAGACGGGAGAGAGAGAGAGAGAGAGAGAGAGAGAGAGAGAGAGAGAGAGAGGTCGTCCATGAAGAGTTAAACATTATTATTATGATGAGTAGGGTGCTGAGGGAATGGTTATACTATAGAGACTGGCCATCTTTTCTCCCAAACATAAGGCGTCCGTTAACTTTGTCTAATGGGGTATTGAACAATGTTATCATGCAATATACTGCCAGAAAAGTATATAGATATTTTTTTTATATTAAAAAAAAAAGTAAAACCACACTTTTCCCATCCGTTTCTTTCAGATATGAGCTGCTGGAAACAGGATATTTATATATATATATATTTTATCTTACCACCGCAGGTGCTATCGATGAGCTTTACGACCACCTACTTTCTCTCAGCTCCAGCTCCGATTCAAACAAGATTTGTATATTTGTCGCTTTGCTGTAGCGTAACTTGCTAACACACATCTTTGCGATCAAAAGAATGTGGTTAGCGATGTTTAACTGGGCTTCTGTTACACCTTGCCCTCGTTCACTGAAACCAAAAAGTATGTTACAGTCAATCATGGGAAAACGGGAGGAAGTTTTGAGACAAATCGTATGAAATACGTATTTCCAGAAGTTTTTTAATAAGTTACAATGAATAAACATGTGCTCAATAACGTCTTTGACACCACAGTGCTCACATAGTTCAGTATTTTTAATGCCTAGGCGATTGAGAAGAATGTTACTTGGGAAGATGTTATGGAGGATTTTAAAATGCAATAATCTAAGTCGAGATTCTTTCGTTGACCTGTGTGCTATGTTGTATTTACATGTTATGTCAATGTTCATTTTTCTCATCCAAAAATTCCGACCACAAATTTCTGCATGTCTTCTGTATTTTAGAAGTTGTCTGATCTCTCTGTTCGATTTGCTCAGTATCTCTAGAACAGTTTTCTTACCATTCGTATTTATTACCTCTCTGGTATTTACCAAAAGTTCCTCGGTGTTGTTGTCACTGACGTCTTGCTTCCACTGTGTAGGAAGAGCATTCATCAACGCATAATAGTCAAAATCAAAGGCAGCATATGTCCCTGTGATATGAGACAATTCCTCCTTACTTTTTAATATTCTCCTATCATACAGATGATATACATATTTTATACCCGAGTTCATCCATCTTTTTAGGTACAATGATTTTCCTTTATATTTTATGTTTCGGTTATTGAACAAAGGTTCCATAAGTATCTCTATCGTGGAGCTTGGTTCTTTTTTTATAGAAGCCATTTCGATCCATGTATCCATCACACTCTCCCAGAACTTAGAGGCATGACACAATTTTCCCGTTTTCTTGCAGTTTGCTGTAGCCGAAAAAAAGTAATCACACCCTCCTACCTCCGTAAAAGCTAAGTCTGAAATTCTGTTGGGAATGTTTTTGGGTCTGCCTTCGGTAACAGTTGCCATACGTTTTAACCAATTTAATAGAAAAACTTTCTGTTGATCTTTAACACTTATAACACCCAAACCTCCTTCCTCAATCGATCTACACATTACCGTTCTTTTTACTTTCTCGCGTGCTTTCTTGTTTGAGTGCCTCTTCTGCCACAGAAACTTAAAGAACAAAGTATCAATTGTATTCAAAACTCTTTCGGGTAAAGATAGTGACTGAATTATATAGGATATTTGAGACAGCAGAAAGGTTTTACAAATAATTACTTTCCCATATAGGGATGGATTCCTTTTCATCCACATTTTCATGATATTTTTCATATTTTCTATTTTGTCTATCCAATTAAGTTCTATGCGAGATGCTTCCTCTGTTGCACTAAAGTGAATACCTAGTATCTTAATTGTATTCCCATTAGGGACCCAACTGATTCCTCCTAATTTTTCAGTGCGTGTTCTATCACTTCCAATCCACATACCTTGTGATTTATCCTTGTTCAGCCTGAGCCCAGAGATGCTACCAAAAGAATCGATGTCCAACAAGGCTGAAGCAAGGTCTTCTTGGTCTTTTAGAATCAGAGTGGTGTCATCAGCATACTGCAAAACTTTGCAAAAATTAATTATTTCCCCTGACAAAATTGTGCTCATTCCAGATATGCTGCTATTGTTTCTTAACTTTATTGACATCAACTCAGCAACAAGTACAAAAAGAAGTGGACTTGTGCAGCAACCTTGTTTTATTCCTCGCTCTGTGTTGAGCCATTCTGACAACCATCCCCCATTTTGTACACAACATTCTGTGTTAGCCATTAAAACTCCCACCATATTTATAAATCCTTCTCCAAAGTTAAACTTTTTCAATGTGGCCAATATTGTTCCCTTTTCTACAGTGTCGAATGCGCGTTGAAAATCCAGAGATACCACCATACCTGGTAGATTTTTTTCAGATGCTACGTAGATAATGTCGTCAAGTGTCCTAATGTGCTCCGAAATGGACCTGCCTTTCAAGAAGCCAGTTTGGTTTTCATTTATTAAAATTGGCATAACACGCTGTAGCCGTATAGCTAATATTTTGGAGAAGATTTTGTAGTCCGTGTTTGTTAATGTTATCGGTCTCCAGTTCTTTATATTGTCCCTTCGTAAATTTTTCCCTTTATGTAATAAAGAAATAACGCCCCGACCCTTGTTCCTAAATCTAGCATTTATGAAATTTTTTGCGATACTGATTATAATCAAGACGAACAGAACAACCAAGTTGAGTTGACCTTGCCATGGGCCAAGTTAATTATGTCAACCAATGAGACTGCGCGTAGCTATCACGCACTCTCGGTTAGCAGGGGGAAGAGGTGTTGGGAAGAGGCCATGGCTGTCCATTTTGTGCGATGTGATTTTAAAAGATTATTGATTACAGAAAAAAACTATAAAACAACAAAATGAAATTAAACATGTGGAAAGACAAATGGTGGTGGAAGTAATTATGATCTATGCTGCAGTGTTGGTGGAAAGACCATGAGTTGTCAATTGCCAGGAACAAAGACACTGCCGTTGGGCAATGAGAGTGTAATCCTAGTAGTTTTAATTCTGGTTTTACATAGAATCTCCTGAGGACAGTTAGATCTATATTATTATGTAATGTCCTTACACTCACATCACATAATATAACTCACTTAGAAGCTGAGTCTGAATAAAAATATAACATTTTTTTAGGACCTGAGTCTGAATAGAATATAACCCATATTCGGACTCAAATCCGAATAGAGCTGGCCTTCAGAATATATTATTAGGTCACAGCAATTGATATTATCAGATTCCTCAATTTATTCCCATCAGTTTGGTATATATGTCAATACATTATATTAGAGTAACTTAGAGCCTCACAGCACAGCGTAATGCAACCCGGGTTAAAGATTGAACAGGGAAAAATTACTCTGTCCAGAGCTTGAAAAAATCGTGGGTGGAATCAGTTTATGTTTACGGAGTGTCTATGTACACGGTAACTGGGCACCTAGTCTCAGTATCTACATACACGGTAACCGGGCACCTAGTCTCACCTAGACTCAGTATCTACGTACACGGTAACCGGGCACCTAGTCTCAGTATCTACGTACACGGTAACAGGAATGAAAATAAATCTATATTTGTCCTGTACTGTCACTTGCTGAAAAAAAAGAAAGTCATAAAGCGTCTTGTCGGGTTCGCCATCGTGACCAGTCAGTGAACCAGCACGTGTGCATCACATTGTGAGTATCGGTTGGGGACACCAAAGTTCATTCAAAGTCTGTGCGCTGTGAAGTATAGGGCTCTGTAATGGGGGGATTATCGATTTTTTTAAAAGGTACAGTCGGGGGATGGGTGGGGATGAAGGCAACACTGGATGACAAAAACTGAACTTGGGAGTTCTGAACAGCCTGGTTACCCTGTACGTGACACTGAGACTACGTGCTCGGTTGCTGGTTACCGTGTACGTAGACACTGAGGCTAGGTGCCCGGTTACCATGTACGTAGACTCTCCGTTATGTTTAAGCTTGATTAGTTTAGATCTAGATCTACATCTAGTCCCTTGTTGATTACTTGATATTATTTGATCCTGGGAACAACATCATGGCACTCCGGGCATTGACATGACGTGCTCCGTTCATTTCCCAACACACCCGTATGGCTTGGAGCATAGATCCACGTTATTTTTCTCAGTCTAGATCTAGAATCTAGTCCCAAGCTGCCTAAATGCTGTGGCGTCGGTGGCCTAGTGGTTAGGCTCTCAGACTCGCAACCGTAAGGTCGTGGGTTAGAATCCCATCGGGGACCCGACGTTGTGTCCTTGGGAAAGGCACTTTACACAAATTTTTTCCTCACTTCACCCAGGTGGAAATGGGTACCCGGCTATGGACAGTGAAAGATCTTGTCAGTTTGTTAGTGTTTGAGCGCTTAATCAGCTGCTTGCACTGTATGCTTCCCGGGAAGCTGAGAATGTTTCGGAGTGTTCTATGGTCTGCTGGGGTAATAATACAGTGTAAAGCGCATAGAGCCTGCTGTTGAGCGGGGATATGCGCTTAGATACAAATGCTATTTTTATTATCATTATTATTATTAAATGGAAGGACTTCCGTAACGAGCGACCACCCCATTAAACACTTAAAGAAGATGCCTAGACCTAACCCTAACAACCATACCCCAAACCCAAACCCTACTCCTACCCTCCCCTACCCCTACCCCAAGCCCTCAACTCTGCTCTGTCTCATAGTGGTCGCTCGTTACGGAAGTCCTCCTGCCTAAATGATGATGATGCTGATGGATGAAGAAGATAAGGCAAGGGGAAGATTGAAGAATACCAGACCACTCGTACATTATTGCGCAAGAAAGTGGGGTTGGTGGGGCGGGTGGTTGGGGTGGAGGAGGGGGGAGGGGGGGTTCAGGGAGGTCTCCCCCCTGACAAAATTTTAATGAATAGATCTACCGGTCCGAGATTCTCCATTGAGAGATATTAAAAACGGGAAAATTATGAATTCCTAAGGTTGAGACTTAGATCTAGAATCTAGGCTAAGGCTAAGTCAGTCCGCTGGTCCGGCGAGAATTAGATATCTAGATTTAGATCTAGATCTAGATATAGAATCTAGATCTAATCTAGATCTAGTCTAGAGTCTAGATCTAGATCTAGAATCTAGATCTAGATTAGATATAGATCTAATCTATATATAGAGTCTAGATCTAGATCTAGATTTTAGTATTTTAGATCTGAAGATCAAGGTTTCTTTCGTCTTCCTCGTCATGCAGTCGACCTTCATCTGGGTGAAGTTTGCGAAAATACACACTACAAAGAAATACTTAGAAACACTTACGTGAGAATGCCAAAACGTACAATCTGGCTCAGTTTTCCATAGCCACACCCGATATAAATCAGTACATCGTGTTAAAAACTGTTCGCGTCAATTAATGATTTAATTTGGAATTTGGACACGACACGTCCATATACGGCTAGGCCTATCAAACGAAACTTGATCAAAATTGTTAGGAGAGGTGTGAAGGTACTACAAGAACTAACCCAGTATAAAAATTTCGATGGAATGAAGAGGTGTCGCTATATTTCTGTATCGCTATTTTAGCTGTGAGCAATGGCGCAGGCCTAAGCCTCTTTATTAATCGGTCCTTTTTAACTTTGTTCGTTTATCTATTTCTTTCCATTGTTATGTCACTTTTATGACTCACAATTGTTACGTCACCAATTTTTCTCGCCTATCATTGTTTGACTATCTTAACTTCGTCATGTGTAGAAAAAAGAATACCAAAAATTATCTCCAAAGAGCAAGTGGATGGAAAAGGAAAAAGTCATTCCTCTAAAAAAAAATACAAAACGTCAACAACAACAAAAAAAAGATGGTGACATGACATTAACAGGCATAAACTTAAAACCTGCAAACAGACGATACGCCTAGATTGCAAGCAATATTCTTCTTTTTTCAGGCGCCATGGGGTCTGAAACAGTGTGATCATGGTTTGCCATACATATACATGTATTTCATATAAATTAATGTTCTCAGAAAACGTGTATAATATAATTATTCTGGTCCCTTTGTGTCAAACAAAAATTTTTAAGTTCTTCCTCCCCCGACCCCTTTGGCATCTACCTTAGAGGCGTCACATCCGTCAAACTGTTCGGGTTTTCTAAGGAAGTATTCTTGGTCGACCTCTCCTTCATTTATGTAATTACTAATAGTTTTCTCATGAGAGCAAGAAGTTCATGGGTCTTCTGTACCAATCTGAATGTCCGGCGAGAACTGCATTTATCTCATTCTAAGGGATTTTATTATTTCTCATCAGCAGCCTACGCGACTTCTTTGAGAACTATACTGATAAATTGTGATTTCTTTTCTTTCTGTGAAAGCCACTACAGTTCATATACCACATTTCAGTCGCCTTTGTTTTATTCTCACTATCTTTAGTGACTGCGCAGCCGAGCCGCCTTGGAGAGTTTTTCACACACAGCCTTGGCGAAGAGCTACGACCCTATATTAGGGCATGGGCGGGGGTGGGGTACCTGGGAAGCGCCCTTTTTATAGGGCTGACCTAATTGGACCGGGAAGCGCGCCTGCCAAGACGCTCAGAGTAAGAACTGGTAAGAACCTATCGGTGCCGGCTTCTATTCATGTCGGCGCATCTTACAGGCCTATCTTCCACCGTTGATCTCATGTGCGGTAAAACTAGAGATCTCCCATTCTACAGAGTGGGTACCATGTTGACCGTGAGCGGCGATCCGTAGGAGGGCAACTGGGAGGTACGAAAACGAGATGAGATTAGTGTGCGGACTGTCCCTCGCCAGTACCTCTCTGGTCCATGTTTTCCTCTTAGTCTTAGACAGGAAGGGGACTTGGCCCATGTTACTCAGTCTGTTGGGTGCTGAAACCCTTCAGTCTGTCCTTGGGTTGATCTTGACGGGATGGTTTATTGAGGACAACTCCGGGGTTTCCCTGTCACAGCTCCGGACATCTGAGCAATGTGTCCCGTCAATGGCGCACCATACCAGGCCAACACACCATAATGGATAACAAAAACTCAAATAAACTTTCTCCTGGCCCCAAAGTCCCCCCAAATCATAACAAAGTCTCGGCTCGCGGAGGCAGGGGCGACCACCGAGCCAAGCCAACAATCCTAAACAGGGAAACGGACCTCTGCGGCTGCTTCGCTGCCCTCCCTCCCCCCCCCCCCTAAGGAGCTTCTGGATCGATCCCTCGTGGCCACCTGTAGTCTGATGCGCAGAAGAGGATTACAGATCTAAACCTCTTCAAGACCGGAGATGCACTACGACAAAAATAAAATTGGGATAGGCCTGCATGATCCACATCAACGTACAGAAGCTATCCTTTGGAGCATTCTTTGACAAATGCACGTCCGAGAAAAGAAGTGGCCAGACTCCTGAAAATCACGACCTTAGGCAGTATTCCATGTGACTTCGTATGCCACCCTAAATTCAACCGCTCGAGGTGTATCATCTGAAAGGCTGCTCATTTGAGGAAATAGTGGCTAACTGTGAGGATGCAATCGAAGCCCACCAGGAGGACCACCCTTGAAATGAACAACATCGTACTCTCTTTCTATTCGTGTCGCCCTCCAGCCACCTTTCGGGCATTATACTTGGTCCCAAACGTGCGACCCTCTGTGTCGAACCTTCTGTGCTGTTTCAAATGTGAGAAGTTTGGCCAGAGCATGTCGCAATGCCGACATGAAGCCGTGTGTTCACGGTGTAGCAAGACAACATCCTAAAAAGGAGTGCCAGGTAATTCCGCGATGCCCCAGTTGCCACAACCAGCTTACAGCCTTCAGCAAGGAATGCCCGACTTGGCTCCAAGAACTTCGCCATTCCAGAGTACAGAACGCGAAATGGCTGCTCCTTCCAGGAAGCCCGCCAGTTGAGACACTGGTCTTTGGCCGGTTGTATGCGAAGGCAGTTCAGCCAATCACGAGGTTGGCCAGTACTTCTACTGCTGCGCAGAGCCTACAGTCAGCAAGTGTAACAATGCACCAAGAAATTTTTTAAGTCCGTCCTACCTTAGAGGCGCCACATTCTTATCAATTCAGAGTTCTTAGGCAGGACGGAGAGGACTCCATCGGCCTTTCTTCTTCCACTCACTCTTCTTTTATCCCTTCTTCTACCTCACGCCTCACCTCGTATGGAGTGTGAGGTACCCTCTCCCCCTCTTCCCTGCCACATCGGTCTGCTCCACAGAGAGAGAGAGAGAGAGAGAGAGAGAGAGAGAGAGAGAGAGAGAGAGAGAGAGAGAGAGAGAGAGAGAGCAGATTAACCAATAAAATAATTAAACAAATGAAATATCTTCATGAAAAAAAAGACGTGACAACTCAAAGACAGAAGCAACAAAGATCTTTATTGACTGAATCAATGCTGTTCTGGGAACATTGCTTGAGATGGAAGTCTTCTGGTGCATGATTTTTCACATTGCAGGTGATGTCAATAATCTACATACATTTGCCAATTATGATTTGATGATAGACATGCATACTTTCTTTTTTCTATCTACTGCTCTCATCCACATTTCTTTTAGCATTCTCTCATTGAAAATTCTTCTGAAAATTATTCCACTCTGCTATCTTTATTTCACCCATCAACAATTCAACTGATAACTGTTCTACAATACTCTCATTCATCTACATTTCGCTTATGCATTCACTGATAGGTACTTTCTCGGACAATTTCTTTTCACTACATGTACATGATGAATGATGATGAAATACATAAGTATAAGCACAGGTACAGTGTTGCTCCAGTTAAGACAATAATGTTGCATAGATCCTGGCAATGGAGCTTCAGGCAACAGAGAATGTGGTCAATGTAATTTATTTTCACTTCTCCAAATGATTACAGTTATTCACTCTATATTTAGAATTAGAATAAAAACAATAGTAATACACATAACATCTCATCCCATTAGATCCCATCAAAACAACATTAGAAAATATAAAATCTTCTTAATTCAAATTAAAAGAACAGATTTCTTGAGACTATCAGCTTCAGGGAACATACAAGTTTGAAGTATGAATTTTCAAACTGAGTCAAGGAAACCCTTTTGGAAAAAGTTCATTAACATGAAGTTGAAGCACAATACAGCTCTCAAATTAATGTTCAAAAGGAAAAAGGAATAAGTATAAACAAGGCAAAAAGTGCGGATTACAGGTATGTAAAATGCAAAAATTAAAACTCTGTAAAGTTTAGAAAGACAGGCTTGTCTTAAAGGTAATGTACAGGGGCTTTGAAACGCCTTTTCTCAAACTCGTTAACCAAGAAATTTGTAGAATAATAATGGGCAAATGTGTTGCCATAGTCCTTCAAACATATCAACTTATATAGTTGTGAGCACGGTAAAACTCTTACCAAACAAACAGGTCAAATTAAAGTTACAAATACACAACACTGAAGCTGCCTGTCCCTCTGATGGTTAAGTCTGAGGTGATGAAGATGATCAAGACAACATTCACACAGACGGCAAAAGTGATTTTTGACTTAGGTCTACTTCAGATCTCCCCTTAAAACATGAAAAATCAGTACCAACTAAAAAAGGATAAAAGGACACATTACAGCAAGCCAAATCCAAATGATATGAAAAGCTTTGAGTGATCTGAACTACAGGTCAAACAGCCATTCTGCTTTGGATCACTTTCTGGTTAAATTGTGTTGTAGGACACACTTACTTTCTAAAAAATTGATATTCTGATATCAGCTTTTGATAACAAAAAAAACCCTTTCCCTTTTGAGGTATCCAAAGTGCACACTTTGTCGTCAATGTCAGACCATGTTGAAAATGATACCCTAAAACTAAGACTGCACCCGACTCCTGAGGCTATTCTTGTTTGACAGAACAGGTCCCTGTTAAGTAAAAATCTTGAAGAGAACTGCAACCAAATGCATTAAAATTTAAAAAGAAATATTTACATTATATTGCATCTCCAAAAACAGTACAAAGAAAGTTAATGGGTTTTTTGGGGGGGAGGGGTTCGTGTTTACCACAGAGTGCATAACTTGGGTCAAAGTAAAATGTTCCACATTATTGCTATTCTGGACCACTGTGTGTTGTGGAAAAAGAATCTTTCTGCTAGATTGCAGCTTCAAAAGTGAGCAGAAAAACTCAAGCTGTAACAAATTTTTCTGATCTGCCAATAGAAACTAGCAGAACACTTTGTTACAAAGCCCTTTAGTTGCCACCATTTATCTTTAATAGCACTACACTGATTGCTCTCTGCTCGACAGACAAGCACAAAGCTTTATGCCTGTTATGGTGGTACTGCGATGTAGACGAAGGAAGATTCTAGAACATGTTAATGGTAAGAAAAAAAATAAAGAAAAGTTGACAGAACATTCACATATTGTGATATCTACCTTTGTCACATAACTAAAACAGTTTGAATTATTCCATATTTCTGTGACACCTGAAAATTTTGGAAAAGTGGCTTCCCTGAATGCCAGTCACATGCAATATTCTTTGAGAAAAAAAGACATCCTCAGATAAACACTTATATCTGTTTACAGGCAGAGGGACAAAAACTATCATGTACCAGCGTGGCAGCCTCGAGGGTGGCGATTGTCTGATGGTATAAATTGATAAAGCTTTACATGAAAGATACATTTCTGCAGACTTATACCTACAACAAGTCGACATTCTCGCAAATTTCGACTTAAAAATTTGGGATATAATAATTATTATAAAGCGAGTAATGTGAAAGTTATTAACAACGAATGTTTTCTTCTTGTATCAACAGCCAATCGCTGCATTATAATCTATGTAAACAAAGATGGCGGAAAAATGGAAGGTAACATTGATCTCAAGTGCATCATTCACTTATGAGTTATTTCCCTTCGTGAATTGATTATGTCCCTTAGCCGATTTTTTTCTTTATATCAGTTGTTTCCCTTGTTAGTTTTCCCACTGATACTTAACATATATATTTCAATGGTCTTTTACTCAATAATATCCATGTGTTCAAGGTATAAGTCTTTAGAAATGAAAAGTATGTGATATAAGCTTTCCAAATAATTATACTAGCCACCCCTGAGGTTGCCACAAAATCTAGCAAGCACAGCAGATACAGTTTTTGTCCCACTACCTATTACTGTTCTCTGAAGCTGACAAAGCATTAGTTCATTGGGGCAACAAAGTTGTATTAAATCATAAAATAATGCATACACAATACATAAATAAACAAACTCACATATGCAAACAAACACACATACACATACATAAACATACACACACATCCATACACATATAGGAACATACAAACGCACATCAATGTGCATACATGTACATCTATAAACACCGAAACCCATACTGTAAACTGTCATAGCTCAAAAATAGCAACTGTTCGGGAAAGAGAAAAAAACTTTAAATCCTTTCATAGCCATGATAGAAAAGCCAAAGAGTCACTGCGCAGGATGCACATCTGCTTGCTGCTGCCATACACAGGGATCAGATTTTTTTTTACCGGGTACTTTGCCAAATTGATGACATTTTTTTTGCAGTTTTAACGATCCCACAAGAAAAAAAGTGTTGTATGTCGAGTTACAAAAGCTTAATTTTGAAATACTGAACAAGACGTGACATTTTTTTTCAAAGGAATACTGCATTATCTTAACTCTTTAAGCCCTGATTTTTTCCACTGTTTCCCCAGAGGTTTTTTTTCTACACTCACCTAAACCTGCTGCACTATGTCTCATTATAACCCCAAAAGCTTGCCTCCAACTTCTAAATTGCGTAAACAAAGGCTTATTCATTACAAAAAAAACTTGGTTCGCAAATATTTCCGACAAACAAGCAAAAACTAGCAGTAAATAAAATGAAACAGTTGTCGCTAGTACTGGATGCTCCCAGCGTCCAATGGGGTTCAAAGAGTTAAGTTATGACCAGAATTCACTTTGAAAGTACCATTCCATATTGAACATACAAAATAGAAATCCTGAAAGATTGTAAAGAGCAGAAACTCTAGTAACGACAACATTTCCTTTGCTAAAACATAATGGAAAACTGTGGTATCTTAACGTATATCAGTATTCTGGTGCATTTTTAGAAATCACATTCTTACAATACAACCAGATTTCTTAATGCCATATCTCACGTTCTATTGTGAGTTGAATTCTCAAACTTTTACAGTAGGTGAGCTGCGGCCCTCCCTTTAGTTTGATTTCAAAACCTGATTTTGTCAGAAACGTGACTGATTGCAGGTTTCCAGAGGTGCCATAATACACACACACACACACACACACGCTATACAGTTGCTGATTCAAATTCAAGCAGTCTCATTAATTAATAAATACATAGATTCATAATTCCTTCTTAGACAGGACACATTAACCCAAGCACATTTGAAAACTACCCTGGAAAATGTGCAGTGGTATACAATAACACATGAAAGACTTCACAGGCCTAATAAGTTGTAGCTTCACTTCTATTAATAAATCTCTTTGCTAATTGTATGTTTTATTCCACAACATCCAATCAGAAAGACAGAGATACTCTTTCAAATAGACTTCCCTGTACTGGAATCAAACATGTGTCTTTCATATGCAGCCGTGAAAGGCAGAAACATTACACAAGCAGTCACCGGGCTATAAACTTCCAGAAGCCAAAAAACAGCTGAATGACTCGAGAACTCAAGCCTTTTAGTGATTAAAGCTTCCCAACTCAATGATTATTCTGCTTCAGCTCTAGTATGCCTAAAATATGAACTCATCAAAAGAAAATAATTTTATTTTTTTCAAGGCTTCTCCTACATACATCTATATAACAGCATTTTTATCCTTCCCAGTCCAACACATTTTTAATCCCCATATAAGTGCATGAGAGTCAACGTAAACTGGAAATATTTTCTCTCCTTGACCATGACTATTGAGTCACAAGAACATAACCTCCTGAAACGCCATTAACAAGACAGTCAAAGAAACAGACAGTATCAGCAGCAGTTGCCAAAATAGAAATGACCTATTTAAGCCCTGCAAGGTATAAAATAATACAAAGTTCTTCTTTTCATTTTATCTAGGACCTTCATTCTTTGGCTATTGGGGAAAAAAACACAGCAAAAGAACAGACAACAATGTTTACCGGCAAGAAAAACTGTGAACATGACAAACATTCAATTAAAATAAAATAACTCTTGCAAGTGTTCGTTGATATACAGCTGAGAGTGAGATCAAACTTTAGTTGGAGGAAAATACAAACAGAACAAATTTCACAAAAGTAGAGTGATTCCGAGAAAGTCGACACCAAAATAGACTTGATAGAAAAACTGTAACAAAGAAAAGAGGATGAAAGATAAGAAAGCTAAAAAGATTTGTCCAGAGGTTGAGAAGTAACTCCATGGAGGGGGGGGGGGGGGGGTTCTAGACTCAGGGGATCACAGTTAACTGTAAACATGTTTAGCTGTTCGCCACTAACTAGAGATCATCTAATTTGAGAGACAAGTGCAATCAGTGGCAAGTAAGAGAGCAATAGGAAGGAAGACCAGGGATATGCTGTCTTGGAAACATCAAGGAGTGTACAGGCAAAAGTCATAGTGATGTGGAAGAGAAGCGTTGGACAACATCGGGTGAGTAATTATTGCAAGAAAACAAAACATTTGCTGCGTTGACATTTACAAATTGCCTGTATATACAACAGGTAAGGCACTTCAGAGAAATATAATTCATGGACACTCAGAATATGAGACAGGAAGAAAAAAAATGTGAATTTCTCATATTTCTTTCATTGTGATGAAATGACCTGCATTATTTACCTGATTTGATATTAGCTAGCAAACATTTTTGTCTACATGTCAAAACCAGAGAAACGAGATGCAAAAAATTGAAAACACTACCATGCACAATGAAAATAACCAAACCCATTTGTAACACGCATGGTCAGACAATGAATACATGGGTAGACTTCACGTAATCAAATATGCATTATGTATGTCTACGACAAGGGTGTTCAACACACAGCTTAAAAGGCCAAAAGTAGTGAGCCACATGATTTTCAACTGGTCCTCAAAGTAAGATAAAAAAAGCTAAAACTCTACCATGTTGTAAAAAATGAGCACAGCTGCCAAATTTTTTCTTTTTTATATCCCTTGACAAGGCTGTTTGCCACAAACTCAATGTTCACCAAAAGTCTCACCTTTAAAATTACCAAATAGTGTCCTGCAAAGTGTAGACCTAAGCTGATACCAAAAACAAACAAAAATAAACCTCAAACTTTTAAACCCACAAAACTACTCTCAACATGAGTAAAATGGACCCTCAAAATCTAAAAGTATCACGTGTGGCCTTTGACCATAAAAGGTTGAGTATTCCAGGTCCACAATCACCCTTCTTGGGCAAATACTCCTCCCCCCCTCCCAAAGTTCTCAACTGTAGCCCATCCTCCTTAGTATTCGAGTTTCATGGCCAGTCAGTGTGATGACAAGCTTACTCTGAGTGGAATAGATTAGGGCAACAAAAACATTGAAAGTAAGAGGAGAACAGACCACATTAGAGCATCAGCAAACCAACAAATTACAGCACTCAGACAGAAAAAAAAATGTCCTTTATGCTCAACTTGTGTGAACAAACAGGCAAGCAAAATACAAGATGGAATTCTGCAGTTTTACACAAGATCTACATCTTGAAAAAAAAAATTAAGCAGACTAGTTATCAGAAATCAGAACATACTACAGTTTTATACAATCTCACATTCCCAAACTCAAAAAACCCCTTATCCTTGCCTCATCAACAAACATTTCAACATACAAGTATCACAGAGGATTTTTACGTAGAGGATCTGCGCAGATGGCCGTGCATCATCAAACCGAGGCACAAAGTAAACATCACGCATGTTTAACTTACTATGGCAAAGAATCACACTACAACACTAACCATCTAATCATGACACATTCAACTAAAAAAAAGCCAATAGAAGATGGCATACAAACATAAATTAGATATCTCTTTAACTCAGCACTTTTTCGGTTGAATATGTCACAACATATGGTTTGGCACTGTAGTCCGCACTCATCTTTTGAGGTAGAGGATGCATTAGTTGACGTTGTCATCACAACCTTCCGCGTGCCTCACAAAAATCAGTCCCCCCATCCCGTTCTAAATACAAGTCATCGTGTTTGCGACTTTCCCGATCCTGAGTTAGGAGCTCCCATCTCTGAGACCTACTGCCACTTCCATCTGGGTGAGATATGGGCTCAAGATTGGAAGATTGTAGCGGCGTTCAGGAGACAGGGAATGGCACTGGGGATGACAGAACAGCAAGACAGATCATAACAACTTCATCATGTAATAGGATTAGAAAAACCTTATCGGACTGCACCAAAAAAAATGCAAGTTGACAATGGCTGCACTGCCATATATAAGAAACAGAGAGTAAAGAAGTTTGGACAATCTCTTTTAGTTTTAGTAAGAGTTTCACGGCACTTGCAACACAATAAGTGGGATCCCATGTCTCATAACTTGAGTGCAAAAGAAGCACATCAAGAAGACTAAGTACAGAGAGCAGAGCAAAAGATAAACGGATTGGAAGAACCTACAGAGGGCTAGAAATGTAGTAAAATTAGGATGAACCCCAAGTGGAGACTTCAAACCAAACATAACTTCTACAAAAGCAGAATATGTATGATAAAGAGGTGTAAGACAGCAAAATTAATACTTGAAAAACAACAGGCTAAATCAATAGTCGAAAAGAGTATGTTGAAACCTTTTAAAAAAATAGACCAAGATTAACCCAAGTCTTACAGCACCCCAAATCCCTTTGGCTCACATTTGATGAATTCATCCGAGCATCAGTGAGAACAGGCCTACTGTTGGCGCTGAAGCCTGGACCTTCCAGTTTCCCTGGCTCCGACATCTGCTCCGCAGCCGCTGCTGCCAACACCTCAGCCTCCGACCTCCACTTGGCCTCCTCATCCTCCCATGGCTTCCGATGAAAGTTCTGGTCCAGGGGAAAGATGTGCCCCTCGGTGGAAAAGAGGTAACGAGAAAACTCTCGATTCACCGGGTTATCAACGTCAAATAACTGCGGAGAAAAGCAGAAATTCTAAATTCAGACATTGAATGCTCAATGTCTTTTTATACACACTGTAAACTATTCAAGAGATGGTATCCCTGAAGAAACGCCATATATAAAAGTAGAATATAAGATGAGAGTACAAAAAGTTGTTTTTACATAAGTAAATTATAGAAACAAAGTTCTTGACCCTGACACACAGAATAGACACAGTAAGGACACAAAACCCGACAAAAAATTTGTATTCACACCAAGTCTCACCAAGATAATAACTAAGTTAACAAAGTGGCCCTCTACATCCTTGAGGGAGGTACAACACTGCACAGGCTCTCACCAGATAGAGATACTTGCAAGTCTCGCTCAGGAAGAAGCTCTCCATTCTATCCTCCAACTCCTTGGTGTGCACATCATGAATGGTGCAGAAACCACACCTGGGGAGACATTGTGCATTATGAGCTACACTACCAAAATCTTGTGCCAGTATTTGTCACATCTTTGAGCATTGACCGGCATTTGAGTTGAATGGTTACTTTTTTCTTTCACATATAAAAAAATGACTTCAATTCTCGGATGGAGGAGTCTATTTTATTAAGTATCTCAGTCTTTCCAAGTTGATTTTCCCCTCCACTCGGCCTGTGGGGGGAAAAAGTGACTAGAAAAATGAACTTCGCTAAATGTAATTGAATTCTGAGAAAGAGGCAATCTATTCAGATGAAAGTGACTTGGAAGCACCAGTTTTGAGGCAGGTCAGGAAGATGAGTGCTCAATGTCATTTTATATCACAAATAAATAAACTTCCATTAAGAAGCTAACCAAAGAAAGACAGCAATGACTAGAAATGTTAAATTATCGAGGCTTTCAAACCCAAATTTTACAATAATTCTTTGGGAGCACAAAATGTCACCTACTCATATCTTCCTTTGAGAAGATGTCACTAGGTCAGTTGTGAAGGCACTTTGCCACAATGACAGTAATGCAGGCATGCCAGTCTGAACTTATCGGGAGATCCTTCAGCTCTCTCTACCCCGGTCCTATAAGAGACATTAATTTGTAGGTTTGCCGTAAGTGTCTAAATGAAGTTATAAAGGGTGTGAAACAAAAAAATATATCCAAATGAACAAACCTTTCTTTGGTATGTTCATTGATGCTGTTGAGAATGTCCCTGCCAACATGAAGGTAGAACGGATTTTTGGTAGCTTGGTACAGAAAGTATGTAGACTCAATCAGTTCTGGCCGTAATGGGTAAAACCTGATATCAGGGGCCTTCAGTTGCCAGTTGTACCTCTCTGGCAAAGCCTCATAGCGTTGCCAGATAGCATAATACAAAGCGTGTGAGCATATAGCTTCCTCAATATCACCATTCAACACCTGTGGATCAAAATATCATCATCATCAAGAAGTGCCAGAAATGAAGCACACATTGGCGATCATTGTTCAACATTCATTTGATTGTTCGGATACTCTCCAAAACCTAAGTTATCCTGGTCTTTCCCCCTCACCCATCTGTTAAGGTTCTATAAGTATCATGGTTTACCTCAGCCTCATTTGTCTTCTATTTTTCCCAGTGGGAGCAAAATGTTCCAGGCCCCGACAGCTTGTACTTTTCTCTCACTGCTGAGTTATGAGTTGTCTTGTTGAGTTTGTTCACGGAGTCTGGTCTCATGGACAGGAAAGCAGATCTGATATTGGTGACTACAAAGCAGTGGATAAGTTGGTGGCAATATACCGACTCATATGGAAGGCCATACAACTGGTACATAAGGGAATTTATGATTGCATTCCGTTGAAAAGGCAGCACAGCTGAACATGTTGCATACAAAGGTGAAAGATCTCAGCTTTCCCTCCCATCAGACGGTCAATGTTACTATCTAGCTATCAATGAAATCTACCTACTTGCACATGTTAATCAGTCAGGCAGATCCATCTATTTGGTAGCTGAACATGTTGCATTAAAGGTAAAGGATCACAGTTTTCTCTCTAATCAGAAGGTTAACGTTATTATCTCGCTACCAATGAAATCTTAACCGTTCGCACATCTTATTCAAACAGACTGATCCATCTGTTCGGAACACCCAACGGACTCAAAAGTGCAGATTCATCAGAAAAGCTCACAAAGCAAACTCTAAAGAACTGATTCCTCTACACCACTGACTAGCCAGACTCTGGAGAACAGACCCACCTGCACTGCTGACCATGCAGCCTGTAGTGCATCAATCCAGGTGTTGACCGTCTCACCGGTCTTCATGTTGACATTCACATACAGAGGGGTGTTGCCAGTGCCAGTGTTACATTTGGTTCTCCTGCAGAAATAAAACACAATAGAGTTTTCCTCAGAATCCTTTATCAAAACCAGAGTTTGAAGGGGGGCGATCTGAGTCTCCAGAACGCCAGTAGATAAGACAACTTTACAAACCAAAAATAACAAATAAACACATGTATAACAAATACATGCAAATGAAAATGTGTATTTTCATGCCAATTATAAAAAAGTGCACAAATATTGAAAATGAACCAATTATCTCCATGTCATTTACAATAAGCTGTTTGTGACTGATGGAAATAGAATTCAAGAAAAATATAGGATTTTAAGCAAATTCAAGCTGAATTCTTCAACAGGCAAAAAAAAACCCGGAGCACTGTGATTTTATTGGAGTAGGCCTACATGGTAAGTCTGTTAAAACCACATGCTTCAGGCAACCTCTAAAAACACACTCATAAAAAGCTCTAAAAGGCACTTTTGTCAATCTTTTAACACAATCTTATGTCAACCTCTTAACACACATTTACGTCAAGCTACAAATAACATGTGTCCAGTTCTAAAACATACTCTTGTCAAGCTACCTTTCACAGAGCCACAAAGATATTTTGGAACTAGCAGCAGAAACTTGTGTAATTTTTTTAATGACATCTTTTTTTTTGTATACTGAGCTACACACCAGAAAGCTCATTATATGAGTGCTGGCCTATAGATAGTTATTAACCCCAAGTTGGCCCAAAAAGAGCAACATCATTCATCTGGAACACATTAGAAAAATGGTAACTATAAACTGTTGTAGGAGTTCTGAGTTAACTGTTTCAAATTGAAAACAAAACCCCAGTTTAACCAGTTGATGAAACTTACCCTCTTCTCATGTGAAATTTGATCGTCTCATACGATTCATTGAACATTTTCAAGTCATTTTTGTCCCCAAACAGAATGTACGCCTGAAAGAATAAAAAAGACTTTTGTCACCAAGCAGATTGTGTACATTAAATTAAAAGCTGGCTAAAAATGTTGAACCTTGCAAAGTCTGTCTATGATTTGAAGTAGCTCTTCATTATTCTCTAAACTACAGTTCGTCAAACTAAAAAGCATAATTTACTTTTCTTCACTCCAACAACATGAGTAAAGCTACGTAGAGGTACAGAAAAACAAAGTAAAATGACCAGACACTGAACTTGATCTAGAGCTCTTGAGTCATTCTCTCTTTTCTGACAACACCAGTCTGGTGAGGTTGAACGACTCGTCAGTAGACGGTGTTACGAGCTGTAGCTCGAGTTTCCTCCTTGAGGATAAACATTCTCATTAAGATGGGGTGTAGTTTCATACTGACCTAGGGTAATTTGAAAAAAAAATGTACTAATTTCTGAGTGAGTACATCCAAAAGTAGGCCTCATTCACAATTGAAAGTTTTTTGATTGCTTGAAGATTGAAATAAAAGGTTAAAAAACTGACCTGCATCTTTAAAAGGTGTGGTAAACAAAACAAACTAATTTCCAAAACAGACAGAAGATTTATTACCCTGGAACATGAACTAGTAACAACCTTAAAGAAGAACCATATTACCTTCAATAAATATTCAAAGAAGGAATCAATGCCTGCTCCAAGCCCACTCATGGGGCCGACCCACTCGCCAGTCTGGATGTTGATCACATTGCCTTGAAAACAAAAGCAAGAAATGGGAAGAAATTCAGGCTTAGTATAGCTATAAGAATAAGAATTGATCATACGAACTGGTTCTCAAATCAAAGATCATGACAAAAGAAATAAAACCATACTCATTTTTGGCAAATGTTATAATTTATTAAATCTTTGAGCATGAACCATGAATCACAACATAAAATCATATTTCAAAAGCATATGTTTCCTATTCAAAGAAAACAATTCTTAGTAAAGCTGGTGATAACACAAATAAGCAGAATAAAATAATAAAATCAAAACAACATACCCATATTATTTTTCTGATTCCGTGAACACAGTCTATATTAACCCAGCAGCCAATAACAAAACAGATTATTTGAAAATTTTTCACGAAATTAATGCAACAGCAAAGCCCAGAACGTGTTCACAAAGGGGGGTAGGGGACGGGGGCAACTACACAACCAGTTTGCAAAGTTTTTACAAATGGAAACAACAACTAGAGATTACCTCCCTTTATGCTGAAATGTGCAGAGCCTAAAACTGCACAAACAAAAGTCCAAAGATTTGTCTCAGTACAATATGCAATTATCAACGGCATTTCATATTATACAAACAAACCATCAGCAACCGCATTAAATGATACCTGTCACTACCCGGGTAATAAATCTTCTCTACAATTTCTATGGGACCACATTCAAAATGACCTTCATTGGTCAATGGTCAAAACACCTGAAGAGAGCTGATAACAAAGAACTGTCATTCTACTAAAACCACAAAACTCACCTAATAACCCTGTGACATTTGACCTCAACTGCCATAGATTTGTCACCGCTCGGCGTGCTAAACCCTCATAAACTGGGTCATTCAACAGACGTGACAGGATGCCAAACTCCAGTATCAGAGTTCCCGCCCCTGAGGTGCACGTCTCATTGATACAATTTTCTGGTACTCCGTCCCTCAAAGAGACCTGAAGGGGGATGAAAAATTCATGGGAATTTATTCACTAAGACATTTGCAAATGGATCAGAAAAGACATACTTTCAGGAAATTCTCTTGCTGCTGTTAAAAGATATCTTGCACATTTCGACACCCTGAGTTTTGGAACTCAGCATAGTGCAAAAATATTCTTTTACTTTCATAAGCATCTTATTTTTATTACCATAAATGTGCCATTTCACATTCATTAGCATAAATCATATAGAGAGAAAAAAAATCCCTTCAGCAATGATAATCATGAGTGGTAGGCAGGTGCTTCGGTGTGGTGCTTCCCTTCTTTCCTTTCAAACACCTGTCGTCCATATCTCTCCTCCTCCTTTTTTGTGTTTGTCACTCTCTTGTAACACCTCTAATCTTCGGCACTTATATGACCTAATTATGCTGCAAGTGCCATAAAACTCTCAATAAAACAAAGATAACCAAACAGGGTCTATAAATGAAATAACATCCCCCACCCTCTGCTTAATTAAGCAGCCATATCAAAACGACCAACTGAAACCCACTCTTGGGTATGGGATGCCCGTTCTTGTATTGCTGAAGGCAGGCAGAAGTCTGGTAGCCAGGTCGTGAGCAAGGTCAAGCAATTCATTCTCATAGCCAGGTACCCGCATGTCACCCAGAGGTTGTCGCGGGTCCACAATGATCAGATGGGCAGACAGCAATGAGCCTACCATTCTGGGTTGGGGGGAGGAGAAAGAGGAAGAGCAGTGCTTGTCAATCTTTTCATAGCCAATGCCCACTTTTGCCACCTTTAAGAGGCTATAATTTTTGTACCGTTCACCTACCTATATTTCCAAACAAGGCATTAAATGATACCTGTCACTACCCGGGTGATCCCCACCGGCACCGCCCACCAAAATTCCCAAATATCATCCAGATTGGCAAGCACTATGTTCCAAACAGCTCACAGCGGTATTTGATTCAACTTTGCCGGTTGAGCCTGGAAAATGCTTATAATTTCTTATAGCATTTGTAGCATCATTATTTCTATTCCAGCAATAGCAGTTCCCTTGAAATGGTAACATATTATTTATACATTTTCTGCTTAACTGAAGATGAATGGCTGGAAATTTAAAAAATCAAATACCCTAACCATAATACCAAACCCTGCCAAACATGGTCAAACCCACAGTCCAATTACCTGATAGTAGCCTCAAACACTTGCACTGTGGTGTTCTTGTTAAAAGACACATGCTCTATGGCCAGCTGCACTGCTCTCTTAAACTCAGAGCTGTTACCCATGATCTGCAACAATCAATAACGTTGGTCATGGCAATCAAATTACATGATGACTAACAACTTGTCCCTAAAGCTGTTCAGTCAACCTCACACTTGGCTCTCTGTATTACCTGAAGCTTACAAATCTATCCTTAAATGAAATCCAACATCCAACAGAAAACGGCTTGAAATGTTGCCTGTACTTCAACCTTAAACGGTTGAGTTCTAGGATAAAAAAACATTTTCTATTGTTTCATTTCATTTTCAAAGGGTCATCACTCTTAAAGAGAGAGCTACGGTAAACAACCTAATTTTTACACAGAAACAGGGAACTTTCTCAGGTTGGATTGTTTAAAGAGTTTTTATGACTATCCACTTCTAAAATGAAAGTCAGTCTCAAACTGCTACTTTTGAGATTTAAAATCAACATAAGTTAAAAAAGACATAGAACTGAAAATCCTTTAAGTTTAAGAAATCCACCCTTTCCTCTTTCTATGATCTTAACAATGATTATACTTACTGCCAGAGTGTCCAATGACTCTACTAAGGTCAGGACATAATCTCCAAGGACATCATTGATGTTTATATTATCCCTGAAATATACGAGCAAACAAAAAATATGTGTAATTCTTAACACAATATGTTAGGCATCGTGGTGAAATCAGGCGCTCATCTAAATCTAAATGAATTAGAAGAAAACAGCATTTTTCTTCCCGTGTGGCAATTTTTACCAATTTTTTATTTTTTGTCTCAACATCTTTATGTCCATTAAAAACACATTGCTGTGTGGATTTTACACAATATATGATCATGTAAATTTACAGTAACCAAGGACTCACAACTCTCAAGCTTTGGAAGTTATCAAACTTAGGCAGCCATTTATGTAATTGTCATCATGTATACAAAAAGCAAGTCCAGTCCCCCTTTAACTTGCAATATACAAACTTAAGAGACCCAGAGGGAAGCAAGAAGTGTGCAGAAAAGCAATCTATTCTTCAACTTGTAACAAATTCCCATGTGCTATTTATAAGCCCCAAAGAACCCCCACCCCCATCAATAACTCATTAAACACAATCTACAGGTCAGAGTTAGCAAGATAAGACAGCCCCGAAGTTTCAGTCTGATGAGCACTTGCTGAACTTAAAAGATTAAAATACTTGCATTTGCATGGTTGGGACGACAGTAAAGAGGAGCTAAAACAAAATCACGAGCAGAAAGTGCAGAAGAAACCTGAGTGCTTCTGTTCCAGCATCAGAAGGAGAAATAATTAAGGAACATCACAAAAGGATTGGAAGCCTCTAATTAATTAAATGTCAAACTGGAAGAGAAAAATATGAAAATCTGATACCATGAAAATCATTCACCACTTTCCAAACAAAACTGACAGGGTGACAAATACATGTTACGGGTAGATATTCTTGGGGATGACGTAACCCCATGCATGACCTCTCATTCATGATTTATACCAAAACTATTATTTTTACAACTTCACATCTAAAACTAAAATAGATTTTCTTGGAGTTTTACTTCTTGAGAAAAAAAGGCTCTTTAATCATCATCATAGTCATCTCCACCATAGACTCCATTGTGAGAGACTAAAAAAGCAGTTTCCTACATAGACCCGCTTCTCCAATGTATTTCAACAAAGGACACCATTCAGTTACCACTGGTCAGCTTCCTGGTCCCATCACAATTATTCTCAGTTGAAATGTGACCCAAGGGAGGACAGAATGTGCTTTAAAACAATTTTTCATCCCAATATTGAGAGTTGTAACAGAGTCTGAACTAATAAAAAAACTACTCTCTAAGCAATGATCAACTTTTACAAAGATCAGGAAAGCAAAGACATTCTGTGTAGGCCTCTATACAATTATTACAGAGTGAAGATTTTGCTGTCCATTAGTCTGTATACAGTTGTAGATGCCGCTATCAACCCCTCCCCCGAGTGTTTCCTTCTCTTTCATTACCCATTCAGCCTTGCCACCGGTATACTGGTGGTGCGTAAAAGTGCCCGTATGCCTAGCCACTGGAACACTGGTGAGCGAGACCCTTTCCCAAACCCGGCCCGTCTAGGACAAAACATGTATACATGTGAAACAGTGTTTACTACTATGCAAGACATTATTTTGAAGATCATTCTGAATTAGATGCTGGTAATAACATATCGCACAGGAGCCCAGGCAGAGGGACACAGAGATTGCTTGTTTTAGCCCATGTCTATCATCAAGCAAGTGTGACTGAAATCTGTACAATCTTCCCTTACTTTAAAATGAACTGGCGTGACTCCATGCCTGGGCACTAAAAGTTCTTTTCAGACGTCAGTATTTCCTTTTTATGTTAGGGGGAGGGCTTTTAAAAAAATACTGTGTCAGATGGAAACCAGTCGGCTTCAGGCAATGCCCCCCACACCAAAAATGTATTGCTTTCCATCCTCGACAGAGTTCCCCGCCCATGTCAGAATGCATCATAAATTATAAATTGTTGTGTTGTGACCACACCGACTAATTTTTAAAAAAATGAAAGGCAGGTTCACTGCCAACAGATGACCAAATTGCGCAAAGGCGATCAGACAGTCCATGAGTATGGGCGCCAGTCTATCTAGGAAGTTCGAGCGCAAAACTGAAAGACGAGAGCGATGGTCTGGGAAACGTAAGTACCACGAGTCACAGTTAGATGGAATGCAGAATGATGCAAGTTGCTTGTAGGCCCTCCCCACTTAGCGTGAGATATATATATATAAGATCAGGCAGACAGCTCAGGGATCAGGGAAAGCAAAGCATCGATGAGTTCACACATTGGTGCGATCCTGTCAGGGGCAAATATTGTAACCCTGCTGATTGAGATTTACAACAGCGAGGTGTGATCGCATTCATGAGAGTGGATGCTCCGTGACGTAAAGGACCGTACAATGATTCCATATTGTCGCAACTTGGTTTATCAGCAAAGCGTGTCCAGGTTTCTTGGGTTTTTGGGGTTTGTTTTTTTTAAACAACGAAAAAAAGCCAACTAAATTATGACCTGAAAAGCGGGATCTTAGCCGAATGTAGGTCCTTGCGGGTCAGAGCAGGATCTTAGGGGTGACTTTTATATAAATTCTAGATCTAGATCTAATAAAATTTCTGAGTTTCCAAAACAGCGGAATGTTAGCCTCTAGGCGAACCGGGACCATAAGCGGTTTGACCGTAGGCCTTTTACGCGGAGATTGTAATGTAGATCTAGATATGTAGATCTAGATTTCTAGATCTAGATCTAGATCTAGATTCTAGCCCTACTAGGCTAGGCTAATACTAATTGCTTGCACTTTCTTCAGATTCAGACTTTTACTGAGGAGAATTTTGTCCTGTATTAACTCAAACAACTCACGGATGGTCGTGATCAGCGCCTCTTCCTCGGCAATGAATAGGATCCAACTCATCCTCTGGAAATGCATGTTTCATGTAACTGTCATAGCCAAACCGAAACATGTTCCTCGACTCTTCCACCATCTGTAATCGTTCCTTCTCACTAAAATGGGAGTATTTGCTATGGAAAGGATCCCAGTCATGTTCAAAGTTGTAAAAACTATAGCACGATGGATACACCATAAAAAATATAGTGAACAAATTAATATTTTCAACTCTCATGTTCCTTTACATAAAGAAAAACCTTCCAACATTTCACGACAGACTACAGGCTACAGGCCATCAGCAATATTTCGATCATCCCACAACAAATCCATGGCATGACCTACTTACTCATAAACATGGTGAGGAAAACTGTCCACTGTGAAAAAAGGGTTCTCTGTGTAATGAAATAAAACCAACTTACTATTATTAAATTTCTATTTTATAAGATTAATCAATGACAATAAATGTATTCATTTTGTGTTAAAATGAATACTTTCAATTTAAGCCTCGTATGGGAAGGTTTAGAAATAGCTATTACTGCGCGAGTCTGTGGGTATTCCCGATTTTTCAATAGCCAATTGAATTTTGCCCTGTATTTCTTGCAACTTTCACTTTTTGTTTTGAATACCATTTTCCGAACAAACCCGTAATTTATTTGTAAAATAAAAGAGACCTATTCGGTAAACATCGGTTCACCGTTCGAAGTCTGCCAAAATGTTGGGATCCCTCTAAAAGTATACATGTATTAGATTTATAATACTTTTTTGGCCTTCGTACTTTTTTTTCAGTTTTTAAGCAAAAAATTCGAGATCTGTCTTTTGCAAAAAGCATATTAATATCCTACATTTTAACAAAACAGTCCGAAATTTAATTTTAACTAGTATTTGTGTGATGAAAGAAGCTGAGTTGGTTGAAAAAACTAAAGAAAAAGAAAATAAAGGGAATGAAGAAGAGGAATTGCAGGTGCCGCTGATATGAGGAAGAGCAGAAGACATGCTCTCCCAACACTGTGACAGTTGCAAGCGAAAATTAAAAGGGCAGCACGCCGCTTGAGTCCAGCTGTGTCAATAAAAAAAAAGGGGGGGGGGGGGGGGTTGATCAACTGAATAAAAACCCGATTGCCTTGCAACAAAATGCAACTATAATAATTATTATAATAATGAAGATCATTTCTATAGCGCCCGCACTCCCGTTTAAACACAGCTCTTGGCGCTTTACATAAATGCTTGTACGAACAATACAATATTCACGCACGCACGCACGCACGCACGCACGCACGTACGCACGCACTCACGCGCACAGACACACACAGACACACACACACACACACACACACACACACACACACACACACACACACACACACACACACACACACACACACACTCACTCACTCACTCACTCACTCACACACACTTGGCGCTTTACATAAATGCTTGTACGAACAATACAATATTCACGCACGCACGCACGCAAGCACGCACGCACGCAAGCAAGCACGCACACACGCACGCACGCACGCACGCACGCACGCACGCACGTACGTACGCACGCACTCACGCGCACAGACACACACATACACACACACACACACACACATTCTCTGACTCACTCACTCACACACACACACACACACACACACACACACACACACACACACACACACATACACACACACACACACATTTGCTTAACGCTCATCACACGAGCACGCTTAAATACGTCGTTACGAAATGAGCACATGCAAATACATAAGAAAATAATATACATAATGCAGTTCGCAAAATACATAAATGGATACATTATAGGCCTAGTCATTTGTACTGAACATGAATCTACTGACATAAAATTATGATGTCATTATGCCTATTCAGAAGTGTTATCTGATCTAAAAATTTAATCAGTATATTATTGCGGTTTCATCTAGGGTTTCATCGATCTGCGAAAGGATGCATTTTTCATCGTATCAAACTATGATGTATGTCATCTGAAATAAGGCGTAGGCCTTTAAAAAAAAAAAAGCAAAAAAACTGTCTCTGGTAAAACAAAAAAGTTAACAACTTTTCTTAAACAATCGGGGGGGGGGGGCAAACAGCATAGACACGAGCAATCTATAGGCAACATATTTCGGGGTTTGTTATCGAGGTAGGTCTATCACACCACAGCACCATCCAAAAGTCCAGACGTATTATAAATTATTGAAATGTATCATCAAGATCACACCACACAGTGGGGGCTTTCGTGGCCAAGAGGTATAAATTAAGGTGCTCGCTTCTCATTCAAAGGTCCAGGGTTCGAATCCGGGTAGCGACGGAAAAATGTTATTCTCTAAATAAAATTGTCTCCTTTCACCTCCTTTCCTGCTCTCTACCAATGTTCTATCATCTGCTTTCGTCTCCACTTTCTGCCCCCACCCCCTCATCTCCTTTGCCCCCTCTCTGAGCTCCGGACTCTTTCTGCAGCCTTTCTACGTACACCTTGGCTCCTTCTTAATTTACTGCTGTCTTTCAGCCACACCCCTGATCTTCTGGTAGGAAAGATGTAAACCTAGCCATCGAAGACAAGGGTGAAAAACCTCGGAGTTCCCGTATGCAAGTTGCGCATGAAAGATCCCTTGGTGGTTCAAAGTCGATAAGATTTATACTTTATAGGCTTCGGCCGCCACCAGGGCAAAATTCAATATTTCCTACCAACTGAAAAAGTTTGGTGTGTCCCGTGCACTCATATGACTTTATACCGTCTTTATGCAGTTGCGAGCGCCGTAAAACATTTACAATAAAAAAAAAAATTTAAAAAAAAACTACAGCACCAATCAAAAGTCCTGACGTATTATATTGTATCGTCTAGGGCATGGGTTGTGTTCACATTAGTATTAGCTACGACTAGGCTTTGGGGGAAAGAGTTGGGGGTGGGGGCGGCAAAGATTCTAGCACCTTTTTAGCTCCACGGGAAGAGGGATAGTCAGTAGGTAGTGAACTAGATCTATGTGTGCAGAAGGGAGAATCGCACCTTCAGGGAGGTCATCAAGATGTGTATATGCGCCACATAGTGAGACAGCAAAGGGGGTTGCACGCTCTTGGAGTCGACAAGAGTGGAGGAGTCACACGTCGTTCTATCGGTGAACAAGATGGGAGGGGTCACATGTTCTTGTTCTAGATATCAACAAGGTGGGGAAAGGGGGGGGGGGGGCGCTGGTGGTCACACTTGCTAAGAGACAACAGAGGGGAGGGAGTCACATGGGGTCAACAAGAGAGAAGGGGGTCACAATAATAATATTATGTTCTAGGAACCAGCAAGAGAGGATGTTCTATGGATCAGTAAGATGGGAGGGTCACATTCTATGGGTCAACAAGAGGGGTCACAATAATAATAAAGCAATATGTTCCAGGGTTCAGCAAAAGGCAAAGAAGTTCCATGTGCTAAGAGGCGACAAGATAGGGCGCCCGCGTTCTGGGCGCCAACACGAGGGGAGGAGTCACACGTTCTCGGAGCCAGGGAGGGGAGGGGCCAGACGTCCAAGTGACGGCAAGCGAGGACGAGGGGTCATGTGTTCCAGGGGCCAGTAATTCGTACAGGGGTCATGCGAGTTAAAAGGGGGTGGGGTGGAGTCACATGGACTACTGAACTACAGAAAGAAAGGGAGTCGCACGCTCGTACAAGGGAACAGCCAGAGGATATGGAGCCACTAGTTCAGGGCGGTGGGGATGTCAAAAAGCGTATATGACATGCGTAAGACAAAAAACAAAACAAACAAAAAACCCAACTCAGAATACCACATCTGGACTATCGTCAGTCTGAAGAGAGCAAAAACTAACTAGCTAATGGATGAACAAAGTGTCTATTGAATCTGAAGGGTTTTACAAAGCGCGCTACACGAGAAAAGAAACATTCAAGAACCTCGGACTTTACAATGAGTCACTGTGCGCGTTTGTGTGCGTGTATGTGTGTGTGTGTGTGTATGTGGGTTGTGTAAGAGAGAGAGAGAGAGAGAGAGAGAGAGAGAGAGAGAGAGAGAGAGAGAGAGAGAGAGAGAGAGAGAACAGAGCTGTGACAAGCTGTAGGCCTACAACAGTCTTCCTAATCTATTTAAATGTCCTTTTCAACTGAGACCTGTCGCTTACATCGTAAGTAGGACCAACAAGCCATTCAATCTTTATCATGTATCTTTGACCAGGTAGGAAAACAATAAACACGCCATGAAAAAAGAATCCTGTTGAGTTCTAGCGGGGACTGAAACTGAGATACCCAGACTTAGAAGTAACGTCTCAACCACTACTGTAACACCGCCTACCCTCCAAATTTGACGTCATTTTGTAAAATGCCTTAGGTACTGCATTAGCATTGGGTTCCCGTTGTCTGTGCCCATCTCTGTAACCATGGAGTGAGAGTCCATACTTCACACACTAGAAGAAGGAAAAACAAAACCACCAGCATTTGTGAATATCTCAATGTTAAAAGAGGCTATACTATAATGCTTCGGGGATGCCTAAGAACTGATACATGTATGTACATGGACAGTGGTCTTTTCAAATTTCTAACTTGAAACCATTGGAAGTGTGCAATGACTGTGTGTGTGTGTGTGTGTGTGTGTGTGTGTGTGTGTGTGTGTGTGTGTGTGTGGAAGGGGGTGTTCCTTTCAGTGGTGGGTGGAACAATTATAAATTATTATATTATTATTATGGACTTGTCCGCACTGCAGAGGATCCCTGCTTAGCTCCCAAATGTCCTAACACAGCTGGGGACAGAACAAGCTACACTTCACATGGTCACAAACAAACATCCAAGGAAAATTGGCCACTCATTCAAAAGTCTCAACACAAAGTACTGTGAATGACAAAATTTTATTGGAGATTGGTGGTGTAACATATAATATAACCTACTGTAAATATGGGATCATGAAGTTTCTATCTGGAAAAATGTTAACACAATACCCACATAATATTTTTCAAATCATATTAGTGGAGATTTCATTGTCTTTCGGACAGAAACATCATTGTGGGCCTTTAACCTACGAACAAGGGGATAATAAGCAAAATATGTACACTTGACATTTTCTTTGCATGATGTATGTTTATTTCCATTTCAAACAATGCAATTATTTCTATTTAAATCTAGTTGTTGAGAAACACAGACTCAGAAGAACCTGGCTAACAATGGTGACAGAAACAAGTCATGTTGTCATCCTAAAAGTATCCATTACCACTGCGCACAGAAACTGTTGTTGTTCCCAAAGTTTTGCTGCAGATATTATAATACAAAGTCTCCACAAACAAAGTGCTCTGTGTATCACTTTACAGTCACACATTAGTGTAGAAGCTTTACACATTCTAAATATAGACTGTGATAGTGACCAGTGACAGCTCTATGTATACAACACACTTGTAACATAATTTTATTCAGAGAACTATTATTTTGATTTAGGGTGTTAGCCATGGGTTCTTTCTGAACCACAGGACCAGTAAAAGCTGTACAGTACTGCTGGGTAGCTCAGGTTTCGACTGGATTCCATGTCATTCTTCCAATAATTTTACACAACACAAAGATATAAAAATACACCTTGGTCATAACAAAGACCAGCATGAATGTAAGTTTGCAACAAAAGCTTTTATTGGTGAGACAGGCTTTTAAGTTCCTATGGGGGAATAATACTATAAAAAAAATTCTCACCCAGTAAGTGTTTGATAGCACCATACAACAACCAGGTAGCACCACAGCAGCTGTTGATCAACATAAACACATCCTACACGAGGGCAAGACAGGAACCTGGCACACAGATGCCAGGCAAAATGTTTGGGTCAAATAATATCCTGAAACATTCTCTTGTGTCGAAGCCCTTTATCGAGACTGACCAATGTCACAGATGCTGTGCTGAACATGTACAGTATTAGAAATACATTTCTGAAATTACTTGCTGAAAATGTTATAAAAGAGACACAAGTGTGGATGAATATTAACGGAAAGAACATCATCCTTAAAATCTAAAGTAGAATGGCTTCCATGAAACCTGTATCACTCATGGTGTTCAAAAATAATGAGATGGAGTTTGTAATTCAACTTTGAGGATCTAAACAGAAATTGAAGCTATAATTAGGAGATAATTTTTAAAGACCGGACTTTGTAAAAGGTTTCCAGCAGAAATATTAGCTTTGAATTGGAGTTAAGTTTCATACAATTAGGGGGGAAAAAACCCACAAAATTTTTTTTGTTAAACCCCAACATTAGCAGATCAAGCCAATGTTGATCATGTGGTAGTAGGAAAACCAGACAGGCCAACATAGCCAGAGGAAAAAAGTTGGACCTACCAAAGGCATCTCCAAACCACCCACATGACAGCTAGAGCAAGGCTCCACAAAGAAAGACATCCACGTGTCATCACTATGGGCCTCACTCCCTTAAGTATGAGCATGAAAGTCATAAAGTTCACTGTTGTTTAAATATCAGTCACCGGTACAGAAATATATTCTATCACTTTTAGATATTTGACTTGATAGACTATGATGATGCATAAAGGTAAATATCTGATTCAAACACTGATGAATAATTAAGAAAACTTTATAGAACAATTTTATATTATTGTCACATGTGGTGACAAGTTCATTTTGCAGTTGTTAATCACAATTGACAGTGTGGCAAGCAAGGGCAGGTTTTAAAAGATGATTAGCACCCCTCCTCCACCCGTACTTATAAAATGTGAGGCAGCATGGTGGAATCAGGCTCTCGTCAAAATAATTTAACTGATTTAACTTGCATTTTTCCGCAGGTTGGTGAATTTTTATATAATTTTTGTTTTTTGGCTCAACACCTTTCATAACCATTTAAGAACTCATTTCTGTGTGGATTTTTTAGAAAACGTTGATTAAAGGCACAAAAAATGTAAATTTTCAGTTACCACGGACTCTTAAGCTTTGGAAATAACTAATCTTTGGCGGCCATTCTCTCACTAATTTTAACTCTGAAAACAGGTGACCCCCACCTCCTTCTTTCGCTAATACCTCGACTTGTATTCAAGATAAATGTATATTTTTTTCATCCAAATAAAAACAAGTGAATAAGCTTTAAGATGATACCAATAACTCTACATGCCCAAAAATTGACGAGAGCCTGATTCCACCACGCTGCCTCACAAATGTTAAATTTATACACAGGATTTAACAGATAAAGGAAAGCAAAGTACATATTTGAAAATTAATCAACGATGCCCCTCATTGCATAGGCAAAATAAAAAAGGTGATCAGCTGATCCAGCTTGTATATATTTATGGCTAGAGGCACATTGTGGCAACAGTAACGGTAAGATCTTCATATGGTGAAGTTGACAGAAAAATTCACTAGTCAGCAGTTAACAATGCAGACAAAAAGAAAAAATTGACATCCACTCGAAGCCTTTCATTTACAAATACAGAGAACTTGGCCCTCCCCACACTCAAGTGACGTGTTAGAAATTCATATCAAACTTTAAGACAGTTGCTATTCTGACATTTCTTGCCACCGTGAAATGGAAGCTTTTGTCAGATGCACAACTATTTCTTTCATATATTCACTCTGTATGACTGACACATCACTGTCTTTTTTGTCTCAATTTTTTGGACATATTCTCATAAATTGTGGTCCAGTACCATGTAGGCCTACTATAAAACAGTTTTGTATTTTTTTTTTTACGATGAGCATAAAATACCTTTAAAAATTCAAAACAGCTTTGTATCCCAATAAAAGTTGTGAAAACCTAGAACAAAGGACTTACTTTGTAATTTAATAATTTTCACACCTGCATTGTGAAATGCAGCCAAAATGAGACATTAGCTCAACAAACAGCTGGTAAGGGCCACCTTTTGTGTCTCCGTGATTCGGAAGAGGATCCACAGTAGCAGCCTTGACTGTGAGTGATTTCAAGGACCATAATTTGGCAATCTTTACACAATTCAGTATATTGATGTAGTGTATATTTATTTGACCCATAATGACCATCTCAGCCTCCTAAACCCAAATTTCAGTGTTTGTTCACGGTTGAAAATGCATTGAGAATGTGTGGCAGTGGTTAGGCTTCCAGACATATCGATTATGGAATTTTTGTAAGTCAAAGTTATGGGGAGTGCCAATAGCAAATATCTTAATTCAATGAGAAATATAATTGAATAAAAAGTCTGTTCTATGTAACATGTTCCCACCAGAGAGTATAAATCAAGAGGAGAAACAAAACCAAAGAAAGCACAGTTAAATGCATCTTTAGTGAGTTTAAAATAAAACAGCCCCTGACAACACTTTTAAACCAAGCGAGCAAGTAAGCCTTACATAAAAATCACAATTGTAGCAAGTAAAATGGCATGATCCATTGCAGAATACTGAACTGACAGGCAAAAAAACCTTCTTAATAACTGCCCACTACGGTTGGTTATTTGATTGTCACAAAATAAAATGAGACTATGGCAAAGAGTTCTTGTGATTGTCCCATGAAGTTCACATAGCATGAACAGGTTCAAGTCTTTCCCTTTTTCACAAATTAGATTCTATGTCTTACACTTACATCAAGGAGCCTACAGTTGTGCCATAAATTATGTGGCTTCACAATGAAAAATTCTACATTTGCCGGCATCAAGGAAATGCATGGCTTGAAGAGAAAAAAACAATCTTGAGCCTTTAAATAAGGAGCAGAACACAATACATCTGAACTTACTGAATAAAACTATGACCTCAGAAGCCTTAAGTTTTTTTTTTCTGCATAAAAGAGACTCAGAAATCTAAAAAAAAATTTAAAAAACCCATCCTTAAACGGAACACAATACAAAAGTCTCTGCACAAAGCTTTTACCCCTGTCTCTGCAGGGCTCAGACATTCCTTTACTTTGAACACACTTCATTATTGTTTAACTGGTGAATAACGCCGAGCTGTTTATACACATAAGCTACAAGTAGGTTGCGGAATGTACCTTCAAGTGATGCTGCCGTCACAATAGTTTCATCCTGAAATCTAACATCAGTGTACCACATATGGAACAATACAACAATTAGGGAATAATCAACTGTTCATAATCTTCCGCCCCTGACAGAAAATGACAGAATACAAAGTACTATAACAAACAGTAACTACAAAGGTAATATATAAAAACTTTTATCCCTGTCACCAAAATCTAATTCAAATCTAAATCTACAACATAAAGATGCAATTAAGACTTCAAATACACAAGTACAGTGCCAGTATTCACAACACTGACAGGTGTGAAAAAAGGAAAGAAAACTTTCATCTATTGCAATCAGAAAAATGTGAGAGACATTTAATCAAAGGGCTCTTATTTCATCGGCACCATAAAAACATTAAATTTTACAAAAAAGTAACTAAGACAAAAAAGTCAAAAAGCAAAAGTAAAAAAAAAAAAAATCCATTTAAGACTCAATAACAAAAATGTCTACAATTTTTTTTTCATCACTGTCCACAATAAGAAATGATGGGAGGTAACTGGCTGAAGCTCATAAAATGCTTTGTCAACTCGCACAAAAGATGCAACATTAACCAGAAAAACATGTTGCTAAAGGCCAGTTATTCAAATGAAGATAGGGAACTTAACTAGCACTGCTGAACAGTTTACTAGAAAACCTTACGCTAAGGACATATTACTTGGTTATTTTTATAGAATCCAATCTCTCAAATAAGTAGCTTGGAAAACCTACAATCACAACAGCTTTGTTCATTTGACCATTTTCTATTTCACTCTGAGACCAGGACCTAGACAACATTCTTCCTTTATCTAAAAACATTGTCTGTCTTAAAATTCACTCTTTGCTTGAGAAGAGAAAAACATAAACATCGAGACAACTTCAACACTCTCAAGCCTTTAACAACATCAATAATAAACATTCAGATTTATCTTTCACTTGCCATCACAACTCGGTTGAAAAAAGAAACACCCTTGGAAGTCATTGAGCAAACAAATAAGGGTAAGTTGTAAAACCTGAGCAAACTCCTTATTCTCCAAAACAGAAGATCACAGTACATGTACAAGCACACCATTAACTTTCCAGTGTGTTGGGTTCCAGAACAAAGCAGGTACATCGGTGCCACAGGTTCACGGCTACAGCCATGAATCTCACCTCCTAATAATTAAGATCCCAAACTGCTGAAACAGGTTTTGTGAGGATTAAAAGAATTTTGGACAACTGTATGAGATTATTATAGAAGATTAAAAGAATCAAAGAACACAGTATATGATTGCAGATAAACCACTGAACCAGTTCAGAGTGGCACAGAAAATTCAAGTGTTTGCCCCAAAATTTATCAAGATGAAAAAAAAGTTGGATCAACCGAAGCGTCAACCCCCCCCCCCCCCCCCCCCCCCCCCGGCACACGTTTGCTGAAACAGCTGAAGATAAATTAAATTCTTGTATCGCAAGACAGTATGAGATCGAAAAGTTGGGAAAGCGGATTTCTCAAAGTATTCTTAAGTTTAAAAAAAAAGCAAACAAGCAAAACAACAGTAGGATACGACATAATGACATATCCGTTTCCTTACAAAACTGTAATATCAACCAGTGTCAATTGGATTTCTGTCTTGAATTATTCAACATTCATGAAAAATGAAAAACCCAGAGCTCTGGGAGAACACATTGAGTTTACCAGTAAAACAGCTGCTACATTAACTTACTGTCTACTCACAAGTTGGTCTTATAAAACTTGAGTTCATTATTTTAATGAGGCAGCAATATGTTTTTAAAAAATCACATACATAAACTTTGAAATGAAAGCACCAGCCTTTGCCCATTAAATAAATGGGTAGTATCCCTACAGGGCAACAAGATGCAAACAAAATGTTACCATTTTATGGTCCAAAAATGAAAAAAACATTATTACCACAGACAGGTGTTGCTCCCTTTAAAAAATTGCAAACGTCCATCAGACTATGTGAGCACCTGTCTTTACCCAATTACATCAGTAAACAAATGAGGACAGAAGATTTTAAAGTCATTAGCTTTAACAGTATCAGCTGCCTCGTTCTGAAAACAAAACAAGTCTTTAAGTCCTCAGCACAGAGAGTCAAATAAGTTGCCAACTGAGCTAACAACAGACTCCCAAAAGTAAATTTTCAGAACGAACAAAATATATGCACTGAGGCCATAACATCACACATTTATATCAACACAACTAATGGCAGGAGGTAGACAGTCCTTAGGAAAATGCCTAAAGGCTGCTTTTAAGCATGCAGTAACGCTTGTTAGCAGTCCCTATCTGATACTGATACATTTATGAAAAATTTTCATTTGATTTATAATTATCTACACATGTAAATTCTGAAACTCATAATAGACCTAATGTCATGAAAAAACAATAAAAAGGTGAACATGCTTGCATCAGCCCAGTCAAAAAGACACTTGGTAAAAGTGCTAAGCATATATATCGGTCAGAGTTCAACCTTGGGGTTTTCAGTGTCACTGACTGAGTCAGTCGAGGGCGGGTACCGATCTCTCCTGGCCTTCAGAAAAGCTGGGTGGTTCCGAACATGCTTGGCTGCTTGATAGATGAGCCGCATGAACTCAGAAAGGTCGAATGAGTAGTTCGTGAACTTGGCATGGGCACCCAATGTTGGATGATGACCCTTGAGATGGAGGAGGACAAAGAAGAATTCATTCAGTTTCAGAACATTGGATGGAGATAGAAATCTGAGAAGTGACCACAAGGGAAAATATCTCGGAACAAGATGAACAACGCAGCATGTTCTTCAAAGTAAGAAAGTTTCCTAATTAGATTAACTCTTTATCTCTATGCGGGGTAAACCAACTGCTGTTAAGATCATAGATTTGGTATAATAATTGCTAAAGTAAAGACCAATTGAAACACTGAAAAGAAGTAGAGGGAGCAGACCATCAACCCATTACAAGTATATATATAAACATTGCCAAATGAAAAGGATTGTGGGTCTTTCAAAATGACACCATAGCAGAGCAGCGTCTACAGATATCTTGACCATTTGCTTGAGAAGAAATTCGATATGATCAAGGTTAGTTAGTGCCTGGAACAAGTAAGACAGAGAGATACAGACAGACAGAAACAACACAGGGAAGAAAAGATGGAGAACCTACCAGTGACTCCTTCCAACCACCCACTGATGCTGACCACCGGGACTCACCTCATCCTCCTGTACCAGCTTGTCCTTTCTCTCCCACGTCATGTAGCGGATCCCACGCAGCCTGGCCAGATCAAAGTAGCAGCCGGCATCCTCACAGTTGTAGCTACAAACAGAAACACACATACATAAACAAACACATACATATACACAATTGCACACACATACACACACGGAAACACAAACACACACACAAACAAAGAAACAAAGAGAGACAGAGGATAAGTTAAATTAATACAAGACTTCCCTTTCCAACATGTCCAGTTCACAATATACAGTAGTCTCCGCCTAAGATCCCGGTGCTCGGGAGCAAGGAAATGCGGGATCTTAGGCGAACCGAGATCTTAACCGATGAACCCAGGGAAGAATCTATGGTGACCCATGCTAAGGCTCACAATCTGCAAAATGGTCTCCCTCAACTCTAAAATGAACTGATGTGACCCCTTGGTGGGTTTATGGCATATGGCGAGCACAGAGTGGTTAACCTTGATGGCCTATCACAGTGCACAGTGGCATGAGTCGTGCCATTTTCTCTTATTATCCTAAAATGAGTCTCAAGATATACGCTTAACCAGTTGCCCCTCCCCTTTACCTGTCGAAAATTTATAGCTTTCCATCTCTGACCGAGCCCCCCCCCCCCCAACCGCCTTTGTCGTTACACACCATTACGTTGTGAACACACCAATTAAAATTCAGTCTGTTTCGCAAATTCCGGAGTAGAGACAACTTCTGCAATGGTCAGGGAAGAGTTCACAGTTCAATGTGATCCCGCCTGGAGCGAACGTGTAGGCCCTACCCACCCAGCGAGTGATGTAAGTTTAGGGGGAGAGCTCAGGTGTGAGTGCGATGTTCTGAGAAAACAAACGTGTCGGTCAGTTCACACCCTGGTGTGATCCCGTCGGGGGCAAACATTGTATCGCTTCATCGAGTTTTACAACGTGTATGTGATCACATTCATGATAGTGGCTGATCTTTGACGCGACGGACAGTTTATTGATCTCAACTTTTCACTCTTGGCTGATCGGCTGTCCCGCTCGGGTTTTTGTTCCGCAAATTATGATCTGAAAAGCTGAATCTTAGCCAAATGTAGACCTTCAGAGTGAATCAGAGCGGGATCTTAGGGGTGACTTTTGTATAGTAAAAAATTCTGTTTTCTTAAAACAGCGGGATCTTAAGCGAACCGGGATCGTAAGCGGTGGAATCTTAGGCGGAGACTACTGTATTATAATTTGTAACCACAGAACAGTGACAAAACACACAGCACTGGTGTTGGGACAAATTGTGTGTGTTTATACAATCAGACCTTGTTATACCGCCACCCTTGGACAAGCATGAAGTTGATAGAATAACACGGCTGGCAGTTTAACGGGGTTCCTCTGTTAAATAGCCCTGACTGCCTATTGTCAAGGGGAACGATTGTGATGTGTGATCAGTGTTTGAAAAGCCACTCTCTCTCTTTGTGTATGTGTTTGTGTGTGTGTATGTGTGTTTGTGTGTACAAATTCAAACCCTGTTACCCAAAGCCTGTCAGTTCTCGAATGTGAGCCCTCATAAAATAAAAAAATCTCAGGTGCACACCAGCTTTGGGGTCATTGGTGTGATATCTAGTAACAACATATATTTTGCCTGCAGGTCAAGGTAGCTTGGGAGAGAGATTATCAAGCAGTCGTCAACAAGTGGGTGCCTTGCACTGGGTGTAGTGTGCACTTCTGATGGTTAGTTCGCTGGCAGTATGGCAGGGAAAATTTACATTAGTTTAATTAGAGCGGTACCACTCAGACAGTTGGCAAATGGTGTTGTGAAGAAGCAAATTCTATGTTTATATAGGGATTCTTTTTCATATACTGGTTAAACTTGGCAGAGGGGAGGGGGCTGGCGGTATATCGAGGGGTGGTATAATGAAGATCGATTGTGTTTAAAACATGATTGATTAACACGGAAGGTGGGGTGGGCAGGGGGGGGTGTAGGAGGAGGAGAGTGTGTGAACGTCTAAACACTCAGCTGAATCTCACTTAAGCTACAAGCAGAAGATGAAAATTGGCACGATATCTGAATTTAACAATAAAGGAAATAAGTTCTTCAAAGTCAACAAAAATATGGAAAGAAGTGCCAACCAGACAGTATTGCTGGAGAAGGAATGAACGTTTCGTTTTGCGACAGACATCAATGATCATGTCCAAACAGAAGTGAGCCTTTAGGTTTTTTAAAGTAAATTATAATGGATATGAACCCCGCGCAATACCTTAGAGAGTGGAGAAGATAACTTACAGCTCCATGACAACAGCCCAGTCTGGCTGGAACAACATATGGGTCAGCCCTGCGCCATGCATGCCGATGAGGATGTCGGAATTGTGAGAGACCTGGGGAGAACACCAGACAGTCATCAGTTACAGCATGGAACAAGCAAACATAAGACAATGAAGAAATGATAAAGTTTTCTGGGTCAAGAACTGAACATCATACATACCTTGTTAACTATTGTGATCGCTACCATAGTGTAAGATGTCCTAGATCAAAGTGCAGAACACCTTTAATAACTAAATTAACAGCAAACCTCAAGGCAAACATGTGCACAATTTTTAAAAAAAGGGACTTTGTGTTGTCTGAACCATGTAAAGAAATGAATTATGCATCAGTAAAAACGGACATCTGGTCACCATTTTCTTTCAGCTTGATTTGACCGACTGGTGAAATTTCTACTATTTAAACTGCAACAAAAAATGTTTAGTTTGTGCTAAAAAAGGTGCACCAGTAAGCAACCTGGAAAGGGTGCCGACTTTGGGAAAGTAACTCAGTGTAGCAAATAACTTACCACTAATTGGTCATAAAACGGCATTTGCCTGTGGAAGAAAAAAAATTCATTACATAAAAAAGGCAACAGATGGATTTGAATGTTAAGACAACAATACCAAATTCTTTTAAGACCCTTGTCTCAAAACTGATAGATTTTAATACAACACTGAAACTTCTACCCATGGGAGATCGACCACCCCGTATGATCAAACATACATTAAAAAGTGCCTCCGATGAAAAAAATCACCCTTCGTGACTTACTTACCTCTTTATCTCAGAGGGGCCCTTTTTGGTGCTAAATCTAAAAATGACAAAAACGTCATTGTCATGAAATCGAAATTAACAAACCTATTTCGATAGCTCTTCATCTGATGAATGAACCTCCGGTTTAAGAGACCTGTTTTCGGCAATTGCCGAAAAGTAATTTAATGTTGAAGTCGTCGTAAAGGATTGAGCCCGAGCCGCTGTCAGCGGCTCACCGGCACAGGGGTTCCGACTGCGAGCCCTGGGCGGCTTGCCGGAGAATAAGAGTCAACCCTATCCGTACACCGTGTTGTTCTATCATATTCATACGATGTGAGGAACTCTGTGCCACCACTTTTCAAAGAGGAAATTTACTCGTTAATCTGGTCCGTACGCTGAGCATAGCAGTCTGTCAAAATGATTTTTTGAGAAATTCTGAAAGTTTCAAAAAGATCTTCGTACTAGAAGTATTCTAAAATGTAAAGAATACAACCGCGGGGGTACAAAATGACCCCAGGCGTATGGATAGGGTTAAAGAGAATAGACTCTAATGTCCAACAAGGAAGTGCAGGTTGTGGTGAGGTGGATCAAAGACATAAAACTTAAAACTGACAGGAAAATTGGTGAGAAAAAGTCAAGATCACAAAGCCTCAGTTGGTGAAACTTTCTAATAGAATACATGATCTATTACCTTTGAACTTTACTTATCTCTGCATTTTTAATGAATTTGAAATACTACAATATCTGCAAATTAATACATGTCTTATGACTAAAACGAAAAGTACGACGAGTGAAAAGGAAATTGAGAACTTATCAAACATTCATACATACATGAAAAATTAAAGAACACTACAAATATTGACCTGTTATACTCCACGACAGTGACTTCAAATTCCCCATCTGTTTTCAAAGCTGAAGCAAGCTGAAGAGAAAATAACAGAGACACAAAAAAATTCTGTTGGAGTGCTAGTTTCAGACGACTGATATGCATACACTGCACCTACAAGAACATGTGTATTGATTGGCTACTGTACATGAATCACACCTCAGACAGAAGAGAGAGAAAGTTATAACATTAGTGAGGGTTGTTGTCATTTTCTCAAAAGGTCAATAACCAAGAAGGCATAAGCTTTGTTGACAAGTCATAGTTATAACCATAACAGTCTCTGCTTCTGAGTTATCAGACTGAATCAAGTAAATTCACAACAACAATATTCTACAAATTCTTCTAGAAAAAAATACAGAACTGGACACAGTTTTCCCATTGAATCTGCAACTCTTATTCAGTTGTATTTTCCCCCCCCCCCCCCCACCCCTAAAAAGAGCCTACTGAGTGACAACCTAAACTGAAACAATGGTTCAGAACACATTTCACTGCCCTCACACAAAAAGACACAAGAACCACCTTTTTTGTTTAAGTAAGAGTTATACGGCACTTGCAACAAAATTAGGTCATATCAGTACCAAAGATTAGAGGTTAACCAAGAGAGTATCAAACACAAAAAAGGAGGAGAGATAAAGACGATAGACATTTGATATGAAAAAAGGAGCAAACCACAGCAGAGCACCCGCCAACCAACCACTATCCCTGCTTTAAAAAGCACAAACCTCTTCCCGGTTCAAGATATTCCTGTACTTTGAGTTTCTGTTCAGCAGAGTAATGCGAATCCTGTTTTCCTGAAATAAAGACAAACAGAAGGTGTCTCCCCACATTGAACACTAAGATAATTAAATAATAAACACGTTTGCATTTTTCGAGTGGCAGTCATGTACTGAGTTTTATTAGATAGCTAATATTTATAAATTTAATGAAAGTGACAAAATTTTCATAAACAATATACCTAATTCTTAAAAGCAAAGATATAATAAATATTTGGAGTCTTAAAAAAAAGATATATATGGAAAACAGACTAAAAGATGTTTCACCTCTGGCATGATAGACAATAGAGACACACATGCAGTAGGAAAGAAAAGCACATGCTAACAGTAAACATAACTAAGAACTAAGAGGTAGAAGAATATGTGAGCGTCATCATGGTGAAATAGGCTCTTGTCAAAATTAGTGAAATCGAAGAAACTGCTATTTTTTTGTTCTTGTAAAAAAAAATTTTTTTTTACTCCACCCCTTTAAAAATAATTTAAAACACATTTCTGTGTGGATTTTATTGTAGATTTGCAGTTTCCTTTTTTTCCAGTTTCTTTTGAAGTCACCAAACTCTGACAGCTATTTTCTCGTTAATTTTACTTGACATCAGGCAACCTGCACTTCCTTCAATTGCAAATATCTCAACAGCGGTACAAGATAGATGCGTATTTTTAAAAAAATCTAAAGCAAGGAAAAGGAACAAGTTTTAAGATGATACCAATAACTCTGTATGCCCAAAAATAGTTAGCATCATGTTGTGACACATGAGCATTGACAAAATAAGAAGGACAAAGAGCTACCAGGAACACCCACCCACTCAATCAGTCAGTCAATCAGCCCGAACTCAAAAGTAACACCCTTCAACCACCTACAACATTACATTGCTGCATAGCTATTTTGTCCAAAAGTGTACTTAAGTAAAGAGTGCGTTTTGGACCATATAGTTCTGAGGCGACGATTACTCAATGTGCCTTAACTCACCAGTGGTCCTTCCTGAGGCACGTCTAGCCTGTGCAGGATGTGCTGGGAGAAGGCTTGTATGAGACTGCTGCCGTAACAACCAGGCATCTGTGGCACAACAAGGCACAAAGACAAAAACAATATAAGCACAGAGGAGGACGGTGTTAAACCGATATCTGCAGGACAGCCACATTATCTTCGGTTTAACCAGGTTTTCAGTTTAGAGAGGTGGCTCAAAGAGACGAAGAAAAATCAGGGATCTCATTTTTTTTGTTTTAACACTGTTTTCGGATTAACCATGTGCGGTTTAAACGGACTCCACTGTATTACATTAAAGATAGTTTTACCTTCAAGATAGTTTCAGTCACAAGACATTAAATTGAAATATTTAAAGATGGTGAGGAGGTCAGAAGTCAAACTGAAAACACGGTCAGAGAGGCCTGCTAGCAGCACCTTGCACTATTTTCAACATATATGATTAATTTGGATCTATAAAATGTTTTTGCAAAAAAGGAGTTAGTTTAAGATAAAGGTACATGAATAGCAAATGACTCAGTTCTCAATCTGCACACATGTGACCAGGGCTGCCTACCTCAAAGTTCCCATTTCAGGTAGATTCACGGTCATTTTCAGGTAGATTGGCCCAAAATCAGGTAGTACAAAACAAAGAAGAAAAAAAAAAGATGATCGTTGCCCCATCGAACACACTTGTTTTCCCTGATATTGGGTAATTATATTTTGAAAACTTGTTTGTGCATGCACATATGTATGTGTGTCTGTGTGTGCATGTTGCCATGCTCTCGCATGTGCCTATATATGTAATATGTGCGTGGGGAAGGAAGGGGGTGTATGGGTGTGCACAAGTTATGAAGAACAGTGTGTATGAAATGAGGCGAGGCTGGGTTTTTTAAAATCATTTTATGGACTATCGTTCAAGGCACCTATCATTCAGTATTGAATCTGGAATTGAGTGCAGGGTGATTGCCAAACTGACTTCAAAACCCCTAGCCCATACCAATAGAAACTAAATTAAAACATATTTCCCGACACAAGCATAGGACACCGATAAGTCCTTTGTGACTTACGTATGGCAGACAATTGATTTTAACTAGTTTTACCCTAAAAATACAAAATGAATCCTGATCTGGGCCTGATGAGAGGCCAGAAGAACATCAACTGCCAAAACCATGTTTGGTTTCAGCAATCACCGATTTTAAAAAGTATGCAAGACAAAACTTATTTATAAAACCTTTATAGTTAGGCTCCCGGCAGAGCAAAAAGAGAAAATAAAAGAGAGTGTGTACCGATAGAGCCGGAGCTGGAAGGACTGAGAGAGTGTGGGATGTAGTGATGCAACAAGCCATCATGATGCATAGGCATCCAACATAGAGCTTTCCGAGGGTTGAAAATGGCATTTACTCATTGCTACTATTCAATTTGTCATCACTGACAAATCCGGGAACACCAACCTTGAAGATATAATCATCAAGCCAGTGCTCTAATGTTCCCTCATTTACGCACTTCCACTTATCGTTTTTATTTTAGCATCAGTTTCTTGCACCGCGGCCTTTTCCTGCTGCCGTAGACTTTATTGCATCAAACACCTCCCTTCAATCCCGACGCCCTGCAACGCTCCTACTTTGAATGAACTTTGATTAGGCTTTCCCAACAACCACCGGCCGGTCCCTTGCTCACGCCGTACTCAAGAACTCTCACAGGTTCATTGACCGGTCACGACGACGGGCCCAACAATCTAGAAACTGGAGGACGCTTGTTTTCTTTTTCTTCCTTTTTTTGTCATTATAGTGACATCAGTGAGAATATCGATTTAACGTTTATGGCTACACTATAATGTTTTTTAGGCACAAACTGCAGGTTACAAATTTTTATTAACTAAATCTAACGTCAACGAACTATCATCGGACAATTCTGAGCAGTAACGAAAGCGAAAGTAGATTTTGATTTTCCCAATGGAGTCTCAGTATTACACCTACACTTCCGATTGCCGCCATAGCCACTCATTCGCGCGAAACCCACTCTCGGACTGGGGAGGACTGGGGAAAGCCGAACGTAATATCACAAACGCGACCAGTAAAATATGAACTCTGACGGCTTTTCAGATTTGGTTTCGGGGACTTTGTGCATTTTCTCAGGTCCCGGGTAATAAATTCCCGAGTCCCCCTGCGTAGAATCCTTACTTGGTACTGACCAATTCCCTAGACCAAGACAGATTTTAGAATGTTTTGCTTCGATACCGATTTTCCTTCCAAATTCCCAATTGTTTTCTGGATAAATGAATTAAAGGCACAGATTTTCTAGCCACAGCAAAAAAACTGAAGATAGACAGAAAGAAAGAATGAATGAAAAGAAGGAGGAAGATTATCTATCGTGAGTAGACAGATTTCAGCCGATATGCACGTGAAAACTATTGCCGACCGAACGGCACAGATAGACTCGTAGACAAGGGTACGGAATGCGCAATCTGGCAGTTTCTAATACAACTTATTGCCGAGAGTTGCCATAAATATCTGACAAGTTACGGAGGCAAGTGCTGATCTCTCTCTCTCTCTCAACGCATGGAGTTGATATGATGATGCGGCAAGTACAGAACTTTAGAAATGTACGGATTTCCGTTAAAACAAAGAATGGAAGCACTGCAGAATGGTTTTTTTCTTTTTATTCTCCGGCACCCATCACAAATCCGGTAGTTTTTACACCTTATCGGTATGTCGGTAGAAAAGGCCCAAAATCGGTATCTACCGGAAAAATCGGTAGATTTAGGCAGCCCTGTGTGACCCATTCTAAACTACAATAAACTTGGCTTGTTGAGTAGACATTTTCATGACCAGACAATAAGAACAAGTATGATTGTATAAACATGTTTTTTTCTGTTAATTAAAACAAAACTTTCTTGAAATGAAAGGGATATTTTGCATGCTTTACATATACATGGCATTACAAAATCCTTTCCTTTCACTTACCAGCGGCATGTTGTAATAGAGGCCGAACCTCATCCTGGCAAGAAGTGGAAACACAGCCTCTTTGAAGCAGACCTGAGAAAAAAGTTAGAGCAAAATGATCATCAAAAGGTGGGTCTCACGATATACTCCACGCTGTAGTCTAGTGGTAAGGCTACTGGACTCATAATCGCGAAGTTGCGGGAGTGAGGTTTTGAGCCTCAGGCCCAACATTGTGTCCTTCAGAAAGGCGCTTTAAAAGAATTGTCCTCACTTCACCCAGGTGGAAATGGGTACCCGGCCATAAACAGCGAAAGATTTTGTCAGTATGTTAGCGTTCCAGCGCCTATAAAATGACAGCTTGCACTGTATGTTTCCCAGGAAGTTTAGATTGTTTCAGAATTCTGTCAGGACTGCCAGGGAAATAATATGGATTGAAAAGTGCATAGAGCTTGCTGTTGAGCAGGAATTTGTGTTATACAAATGCTATCTATTATTAGTAGTAGTAACCACAGCCTCAACCATCCTCCAATTTCAGCTTTCTTTTTTTTCTTTCTATCTTTTTACTACTGATTTATATCAATTGCTTCATTTTTTCCCCACAAACACTATCTTATGACCATTGAGTCAATGGGTCTTTTTTTCTTTTTAACTTTCCACAGCAAGACAAAATATCAAGACCTTGGCAAACCATTTGAGAATGACAGGAAGAGAACAAGAAAAACATCAGAGAAAGAGGGGGGACCAAATGTCCACCCATGCTGTATCAAACAATGACTATAAACCACAGTGCATATTCTCCTTTTATCTTTAAAAAAAAAAACCCAACAAAATTTAAATAATTTATTTAAGCAAGCTTCCACCCTGACTAGCATAACCATCTGCGCAGAGAGGGATACAACATCCCAGCAAAAAGGCTGAGATACTGAATAAAAATTCTCCTTATATGGGAACTGAACTCAGGTCCTTTGTGTATGATGATGAGGTAGCTTTTCACAGACCCCGGTATATTCTATCTTTACCCTTTTGTACACCGACTACATGCTTAAGTATGCAGAAGAGCAAACCTACCAGCTCTGGTGCACCGGTCCTGTATGGCTCAGGTAGGTCAGGGCTCCAAGGGTTAAAATTCAAAAACTGTTTCTGGTTAAAAAAAAAGAAAAGTGTGCCTGTCTCTGTATATCCTGACAACTGTTTCCTAATCTGGCTCTGATTTTTTAAAAAGTGTTCATGTCATAGTATATCCTGACAGTCTCACACATGTCAAGACATATGCTGAGAGAAAAAGAAGTGATTTCATTTTTCATTACCTTTTTCCCATCCAGATCTTTTAACGGAATGACAGGATAATCTGAGAATGCTTTCCACGTCAGACTAAAGAAGTCTCCATATGGCATTGGACTCTGGAAAAAAAGGAAATGGTAGCGATCAATATTCAAAAACAATTTAAGAAATCACTTTCTCCTCTTATTATATATGGACTTATTTATATTCCTAATAGATCAGGGAAAGGAACGTATCTAAAGTGTAACACAGTCATTATATGCATAACCCCGAAAGTGATGAACATTTAATAAAGTAAGTTTTCATTAAAGGTCCACAGGGCCAGGCCATTGTGGAGGGGTAAAAGGTCACCAGTTTAGTTGGCAAGCAGTGGTCAAAATTTCACACCTCCCAAGTGCTATCCTAGCTGCTCTATTAATGGTGTGCATCAGTCTTATTAATCCATTGCCACCAGTGCTTGCATCTCATTTGTACCACTATTTAACCAATTAAACACAGAAACGATTCAGTGTCTCCTTTGTTTCCACTTTTAGCCCCATCCATCCATGTAATAAGCATAATCAACCAATGCTATCTCTTCCTTGCATTTAACAATGATTTGGGGAACTTTTTCTGGGCTGGTTATAAGATTAAAAAAGCAGGCAGTGGTCAAATTTCTCACCACTGGCTGCTCAGGAAAGTTTCTATGCTGGCGCATCACTTGAGCATTCTGAAGAAAAGCAGTGGTGAGATCACACCACACCCAACCACCCTGACCATATGCACCACTCTCGGCTCACACAGGAGTTACGGCTACCTACAAATTGCACCCCATCCCCTCTCCCTCATCTGGTAGCGTGGTGTAGTCATTGTCAGTGGAATCAAACTTGGAAGTTTTTTCGTTTTTTTTAAAGGTTTGAACGGGCACGGCATTTTCCATCTCTGCCAGGTTAGAAGCCTCCGATGGGAAGGAATATCTCAGTCTGTTTCCAGGTTGTGAAGGTTTCTGTCTTAGACAGGTGTATTATAAAAAAAATCATCAAGAGGGCAGGGAGATTTCATCATGGACAGGTGTCCATTTAGGCAAGTTCAGTTGTAGTTTCTTTTCGTAACACGAATAACATAAACACATCCCTTTTTCCCCTCTTTTTTTGGTTACTTGAACAGTACTCCATGCTCACCGTGTCCCACATGATAATGTTGACATCTGTGCTGAAGGAGTTGTTGATGTGTTGAGAAGCATACAAGTTGACAAAGTCACAGAAATGATGATACATATTGATTCCTGAGGATCAAGAGAAGCGACACAAAGTCAATGTTGTTATTGCTATTGTTGTATTGTGGTGGGGATGACACTGTAGTGTTAAAGTAGACAGTGAGTCTGTATGGTAACAGCCACATTTTTTGACACAGTAAAACTGAAAAGCTGTACACTACATGACCAAAATGCCCAATTTTCACTTACTCAAAGAAAATGAAATTACGTCACTAAGCAGTAAACCCTAAAATGACTAGAATTAATTTAAAAGAAACAGAAAAAAACTCAATATTTGGCCATTTGTTTTCATCGAACATCCAATCCTATTCCTGGCAGGCTGGGGGGGCACATCCCATCCATTGGCTTCCCTTGATATTCAATAATGAAATGATGACCAGTAGGTGATACTGATACCAGTGGGAAGATAGAGTGGTTTGGTTTTGTTTTTAAAAAAATTATTTTGAGTTTCCTTTGTCTGATCAGTGTGTATTGTTTTGGGTGCAAATGAGAACAAGAGGATTCTGAGTGAACTTCCATGAGGCAATATTGTCACTATGATTTGAGAGCGTATCAAAAGTATGAAAAGCACCTATCAGAATGCTGCGTGCGTGTGTGAAGGGAAAGGTAAGCTTTCATAAGACAAACAACTGAATGCTTTGATCACTTGTGAGATCGAGAAACAAGGGATTACATCAACCGAAAAGCATATAGCAATTCACCCACTTCGCAGAGCTAATGCACCACCTTGAATAATGTTCTGTGCAAGTGTGTTGGTAGAATGTACCTTTCGCCATTCACTAATTCATACCAACTCCTCTCTTTTCCCCCTGACCCCTCTTTCCGCCCGTTTTTCCTTCATATAAATAAACCTTCCATTACCAATAATGGCACTACATCATTTCTTTTGGCTGTTTCTATCAAGGAGCCCATGAGATTGAAAGTTGGCAGTGCATTTGAAACCTGAAACAAGTGGCCTCCTAAACAGCCCCCAATTGTGCTTATCTAACTCTGTAACAGTATAATTAATATATTTGTCTAGCCTTGAAGAGGGTATCTTTGCACATGCAAAGTATGGTAAAAACAGTTCAGAAAAGTTTATTGCCCTTGGCTCAAAGCAGGCTACTGCACAGGTTTCTAGTTTTAGAACAGGTTCTCAAGCATGCAAATAATAGAGAGAAAAAATTGTTAAACGATTAAAGCCTGTTCTTAGGTGGACTGGGTTATTAAGTGGAGACCATTGCACCGTTTGTATACTTATCTTTTCATCCTGGAAAACAGATTGCCAATACAATGTCCTGCTGTTGTCTGTATGTATGAGTGAATGAAAGACACATTACTATCATATTGGTTACGAGGTGCTATGGAAAAACAGAATGGCCAATAGATAAATGCAGATAAAAAAGGAAGAAGAGGGACTACCGACTAAATGCTCTAGGCACCCTAAGATGAAATAACGAGTTGTCAAGTTGACCTACCGGCATCTAATTTGATGAGGTAGGTAGGTTTATCAAACACTATATCACAGTTGCTGGCATCTGACGGCTGGAAGGGAAGAGAGGTGTAATGTTCTAGTTCTGCAAACCTGAGGAAACAAAACATCGACCCGAACTGAACTCATTTTGTTCTATTTATTTTTTTCTGTCTGACATGCAACAGATTTTTACCAGGTGGAACACGAGGCAGGCCATTCTGGCAGCGAGGCTAAAAGTAGGTCTTTTAAGACAAGGGAGGAAAATTGTGATCCAAAAGGTGCTCAAACAATGACCTTTCTCTCATAGTAAACTTTACGAAAAAGTGGGTATCAACAACTGTCCCATCTTCCTTCTGGTAAAAACCTGTTGCATGTGAGACAGGAAAAAAAAAGAACAAAATAAATTTTAGAGTTCCTCAGGCATTAAAGATTCACACAAAGATGTATTGTCACATTTTCCTTCCCTAATCTTCTACTCCTCATAAATTTTGCCTTACAAAATACATAGACAAGAAATTGTTGAAGTCATAATTTTAGTACAATTATGTGATGCCACTAACTACAGCATTTTAACACTTTTATTTACTTTTGATGAAACTGGCAGATTTTACTTCAAATGAAATTAAAAGACTATGGTGTATGAAGTGTATTAAAGATCTATACAATTATGACAAGAAAGTTACAGCTTAAGTAATCTAGCAAAATTTTCAAACTGTACTGAATTGAAAGAAAATAGAACAAGCAATATCACATGCAAAAAGACACACATAGAGGCTAGGCTCATACAGGATAAAGTATGGAACATCCCATTTTTCCGACACTCTGGATATTCTAGCAAATGAGGCGATCCTTCTCACAACCTCACAACTCACCAAGACTGTAGAGGACTTTTATGTTCCCCTTCTGCTTTGAGAGCTTTGACATCAAGGGTACAATGACCTCCAACTTGTCCCTCTTTCAGAACATCCTCCCGATAGCGATTCCTAACAATGAATTATAGAATGTCCAGAACTTAATATTAAGATGAAAAGGAAAGAACACTCATCAGCAAGATGAGATGAACGTCTAAAACATTCCATAATTGACAGAAATTGAACACATTTTTTATATATGACTCATGGCAGGAATAGGTATTTCCGGGCAATTTAAAGTTGTCAAATTTTTTAAATTAAAAGTAGAATGCTAACAAAATGTTAACACTTGTGTTGTCTGATTTTAACACATACAAAATAACAATCGCGACAAAGGCAGTCATCCCTGAAACTAAGATTTTGGCATTTCTGCAAAAAAAGAGATATTAACAGCAGGTTGATCCCATATGTGAGGCAGTGTGGCGAAATCAGGCGCTTGTCAAAATAATGAAATTGAAGAAACAGGCATTTTCCACCCAGCTTGGCTATTTTTTGTCGGTGGCCTAGTGGTTAGGCTACCGGACTCATAATCGTGAGGTTGCAGGTTCGGGGGTTCGAGCTGCGAGCCCAACATTGTGTCCCTGGGAAAGACACTTTACACGAATTTTCCCCACTTCACCTAGGTCGGAATGGGTACCCAGCTATAGACAGTGAAAGATCTTGTCAGTTTGTTAGTGTTTGAGTGCTTAACCAGCTGCTTGCACTGCATGCTTCCCGGGAAGCTGAGAATGTTTCTGAGTGTTCTATGGTCTGCTGGGGTAATAATATAGTGTAAACCGCATAGAGCTTGCTTTCGAGTGGGGACATGTGCAATATAAATGCTATATATTATTATTATTATTATTATTATTTTACAGATTTTTTTTTTGGCTCAACATCTTTATGTCCATTCATTTAACTCCACATGCCCATTTTTGTGTGGATTTCACTGGGAAAAAAATGTAAGTTTTCAGTTACCATGGGCTCTCGAGCTATGGAAATTACCAAACTTTGGTGGCCACTTTCTCGCTAATTTAACCTTTGAAACAAGGTGAGCTCCATCTCCTTCAATTGCAGATATCTCGACTTCTATTTCAAATAAATGGGTTGCTTTTTTCAAAGAAGGCAAGACAAATGCACAAGCTTTAAGATTATACAGATGATACCAATAACTCCACATGCCCAAAAATTGACGAACGCCTGATTCCACCGCATCATGACACATATGGTTTCTGAATCTTTATAAATAGCCACCTGGATTCTTCCCCCACAAAAAGGTCATTTATAGAAAGGACTTTGACCTTAAAACAACCACAACAAAAATGTGTACCTCTCTGGGCCTTTAACTATGTTGGCAGACGAGAAGTCAAAAAAGATATTCTTTGCTTTGCAGTAGCGTAGGTACTTGGCACATTCCAAACTTGAGTCCAGCTGATGAAAAATAAATAAAACCAGTGAAGGACTTCACAAGCCAAATGAACAACAATAAAATGGACAGCATTCAAAGGTAGAGGCAAGAAGCTGCAATCACTTAAGACTAACAAAAACAATACATGTTGAAAACTGAAAAAGAAACTTTTTCACTTTCATACAAAAGTAAAGTCTAAAAAACTTGAGCAATCACCTCCCCAGATTTACTCAGCTATATTGATAGAGATTTTTTCAGTTGTTTGGCACTATGATGACTTTGACCAAGAGTAATTTCCCAAATTAAATAAACTCTAAACACAAAGAAACGCTAACACTGAATGCAAACATAAAAGGTTTTAAATTGTCAAACAATAAAAATTACATACCAAGTTGTACACAACTTTGATAGTTGTTGTTGTTAGCGATCCAGACAACTTTGATAGTAAAAAATAAAGTATAACCACTTAATACACATTTAAAATATCATCTGTGCAAAAAAGCAATACACAAAGTAAAAAGAGTAGACATTAAAACCAGAAAACTCTTAATTATAATGAAACCAAAAGCAAAAGATCTCAATGGTATCTGCGAAACTGGATCCTTAGACATTCGAAAAATAGAGGATTAAAAAGAGCTAATACCTCGCTGTTCGGCTTGCACAGAACTTTCATCTCACTGCGGTGTTCAGAAACTAAGCCAAAATCAGCTCTTCGCCAGAACTTATCCAACTGCTCCTGTTTTCTTTGTGCCCTGTGGAATTAAACTGTAGCTCTTTAGAGACACAAACAAGATGACAAAAGATTAAGAATAATAAAAAAAATATATACAAATAGCCTCCTCGGTCAAATTCATCAAAGAGTTTGATCAAAAGTGTTTGTGAAAACAAATAGTTCAAGCAAAAAGCATCATAGAGATACATCAGAGCACGCTTCTCTGTCATGTAATATGACCCATAGTTTCATCAATACCAAGGAGCGAGCAAGATAGGAGCTCAGTACCAAAGAAGAGGGCCAAGTAAGGCTGAAGGACGCTACAGGTTACCTGTTTATGACATGAATACCACAAGTGTTCCTTCACTTCCGTTGAGGACACATGACATCCTTCATTGCTGGGAATAAAATAAAAATCTAAGAGCTGATGTAAACTTGATATTTAGCAATCTGTCAGGTTCGCAGAACTGAACCATTGCATATATGAACAACTGCCAGGTCTTGGGGTATTTCTTCTCAAACTGATGAGCTGAAAGCTGTCAGTCCAACAGAAAACACCAATGAACATTTAGGACCTATCCATATTACTTGCCTCCTGACCCCCAAATTTCCCTGTCTCTTTTCTAAAGAGAACAGGAAAAACAAAAAGTTTAAAAAATGACAGAATTAATTAAAACACCTCTGAAGAAGGTGTATTTTCTATGAACTATACATGTATGTTAGTATTCAACTTGACACATCTTTCGGTCTGATGAGTGGCCACCAAAATTGAGTTTCTCCAATCCAAAAAATCACATATATATAGATATAAGAGTGAAGTATGGAGGTCACTGAGCTGCACCTATAATGGTACTGCCAGGTGAATATTTCAATAGGGGATAAAGCCTATGCTTAGCCCAGGGCAACAGTTAATTAGAACCAGTATTACAGTGGACTAATCCAGAAATAAAACATAAATGTAACAATCGCAAGAATCCACTTTCATGCTTGTAATACTGAGAAATGACCACGCCATGAGAAATATCATCACTCATTACAAATCTCTTATCTATTTTGCAGGTAGGAGAACACCTTTGAGCCCTCTCTTGCAAGGACACCTCCAAACAGAACTCACCAGGACTTACTGTCTCCCGAGCAGTCAGGGTTGCTCAGTCGATTCTTCGTGCTGCACGCAGTCTCATAACCCCAGCATGCAGGTGAGTCCATGGCAGCCTAGGGAAATAAAGCAAGAGTCAAGCAACAAATACAGTTCATGAAGTACAATTTAAAAAAAAAAAGAAAAAAAAAGAACACTTTTAACTATTCTGATGGAATTTGGCTTACTATAGTGTAGGCCTATACACACAGGACATTCAAAATAAAGCATGTACAACTACATCCAGTAAAAACAAACTTAAAATAAATACATTTATGAATGTATGTTACAACAATTGTGGTACAGTTCTGAAAATATTTCATTAAAAAGCATCCACATACAAAGCATGCAAACACTAAAACGGAAGTAAGCTTTCAATTTAAATGGAATCAGACAATCATACAGTTTCAAGTGTAATCAAATATCCCAACTCGAAGTGAAAAGGCTATGTTTAATAAATGGGAAGCGCTAGCTTCCCACTCTAAGACTTCACATTATGAGGGAACCTTCTTGGTAGAGTGGGCTACAGATACGAAATTTTGTGAACTAGTGGTGTTGGTAAGTCCTTAAGTCCTTTCACCACAGCAACCAACAACATCAACTGGTCTCCCAGTGGAGTCCTATTTTCATCCCACATACAGGAAAACTGACCTTGTAGGGGCAAGACACATCCTTTTCACATGCAGCTTTTACATCTGGGTTATTGTTGAAAAAGAACGGCACATGAAGCTCTGGGAGGTTCAGGTCTGGGAATGAAATACACACACCCACATGGTGCAAGAGGATGAAGAGGACCAGACCACAGGTCATCATTCTTCATCTGTTTGAGCTGGAAAAAAGAGAAAAACAGGTACACTCAAATTACTTGAAAAGAAAGAAACAGGATTTTTTTTCAACTTTGATGAGGTCAAAATATACACAACAGACCGCAGTGGAGTCCGTTTCAATAAAAATCTGCAGAACTGCCAGATTTTCTTTGGTGTAGCCGAGTTATTGGTTTTGAGAGGTTGTTCAAATAGTGATCGGTGTCAACCGCCTACAATTAGGAACTCTATGCTTGAAGCAAATTTCACTTTTGGGAAGTTTTTTTTCTCTCATCTCCCTCTTTTGACTGCAATTTGAGCTGTTGGCTGTAAGCATTATGCTTTCTCTCCAACATTGTCAATTTGCTTAAGCTGCCAAACAGTCACACAGAACAGATGAAAGAGTAGATCAGCACACTGTACTGCGCTATTCTAGAGGAGAAAGCCCAGTGCCAATGATGACATGAAACATACCATGTGCCATCACGTGCTCATGTGTAGGGCCCACGTGAACTAGCCAGAAATAGGCTATGCCCTGGCCATCTGCAGGCCATGAGACAGATGTCTAATCACTATCCTTGCGCCACTTGATCTATGCAGAGTACAATGTAGGCAACAGTAAATTTAACATCCCCTATTTGAGCCAATACACGCATTCAAGGGCCATCATGTATGCGACATTTTGGGTTGTGGTTATTAAAATTATTATTATAAATCTCTCCCTTGCTAATTATCAATGTAATTTCTCACACCGCTAGGCAAAACGGCTTTTTATGCAAACTACGCCAAACTTAAAGGCATAGTAATTTTCCACATTTTGGATCAATTTGAGGGCGTTTCAGGGGGTAGACTCTATGCCCCCTGAAGGTATAAAAAAAAAAATCTAGGCGGTTTAGGGGACATGCCTCCGCTTTCCCATTGAAGTCTTGCAAATTTGAAATTTTCTTGAAAGTAATCTATTTGCGGCAGTTTTAGCAGCCATATGTGTGATTTGCATTAAAAAATACAGCTGTTTGATCCCCCAAAGCAGTGTATCTGTGTGAGGGAGTGAAAGTAAAAATTTTCCAGCTGCCCTTCTTCCTAGTTTTGTCCCCGTCGTTTTATGTAAATAGTTACTGAGCAAGTAATGTATAAAGAGAAGTCACAAGTAGTGCCTGAGATGTCTGCATATTATGAACTGTGTAAAAAAAAAAGACAGATTCGTTCAAATGCACACGCCTGTGTCATCTCTATTGTTTACCAAAAAGTTGTTGCTGTGTTGAGCCTAGCATACGGCAACTTTTGATTCCATAGACCAGCGCACAATTCATAACGTAATCTATGTCAAAACTAGCTTATCATTGTAATAGTGTAATAGTGATCAGTTGCCGAGGGAAAAGAAGACTGTGACACGTTTGTATCTGCGATGTTCAACTCCCTGACCGCTAGTGCCCCCCCCCCCCCCCCCCTGACAAACACACACAGTCACACGTGTGCAGGCCGCCCATCCGACCCTGAAACATGCCAAAGTAGACACGTGCGCGTGCCAACAACGCATGTGTTGGTATGAAAAAAGGCCGCTGATTGGTCGCATGCAATTGGCTAAGTGATTAATGGTTCACGATGCAGGTGCAATGGATGGTTTCCGGGAATAGATAAAGTTAGTTCTGGGAGAAAAATGAGCGAAGCCACCTCTTCGGGGGCTGTTCACCCTGGAAGCGACCTCGTTGAATCCGAGCTCGCTGTTTATGTGCTCGTTGAATCCAGATTATTTTTATTGATTAGAAGAAAAACAAAAGGGGAATCTATCTCATCTTGTTGAATCCGAGTTCTCGTTGAATCCGAGTTCCACTGTACCCGGGTACTTGCCCAGCCCTACCTCAGGTCGATGAAGACAGCCACAACATTGTCTTTATCTTGAAAGGCATAGCTGGTCTTCTGGGCAAATCTGATGAGGTGGTCCATAGTTCTTTTGCCTTTCCTGAATCCTGCCTGTGATCTGCTTGCTGGTTTGTCCTTTTTCAGTATCGGTGTGAGGTTTGTTTTCTTCCATTCTGTTGGGAGCTGTCCCTCGTTCCAGGTCCTGTTGAAGAAGTCCGGGATTATGGAAAGGGAAGAGTCCATCATCGATGATGTGGTCTGGTCCTGGGGCCTTTTTCCTTTTACACTTTCTGAGGGCTGCCTTCAATTCCATCAGAGTAAACTCCTTCTCAGCCACCTCCAGGTTTGCCTTGGGGGTCTCTTCTGCCCTTTTGGTCAGCTGCTTTATTGTGTGGCTCAGTTTGTTCTGGTTTAAATTTCTTGTTGATGCCGGCAAAGTATTTATTCAAAACCTCTGATGCGTTTAATAAAAGTAAGTAAACAGTCCACAAACAATGCTCCTCTCTGGCCCACAATCAACATGACATGTGTGGCCTTGTGTCTCTTTTTCCTGTTTTCCTTTCTCGAAAAGTGTGTGTAATACTTGAAGATTTGCATTAAATGAGGGTTCCTTGAGAAGATTTAACTGACATTATAACCCTCGAAATTCTGCTCTGATTAGAAATGTGAGTATTTTGGCATTGGTAGCTTTTTTGCAAAGACAGAGAGAAGGAAAAAGAATTGAGGATTTTCTTTTCTTTCGGTTTATCGCTCTATTCGGGTTATCTGTGTTCTGTGTAAGCAGACTCCACTGTATTTAATTTAAAACATGTCCTACAATCAATATTATGTAGGCCTAATGAATTGTAGCCTAATATTTTACTTTCACTACCATCTCATACTCAGGAATTGTCTAGCCCTTTTCTTGTTCATTTTTATCCGTTTTACACAAAAATTGACATTTATCGCAAATTAATAGAGTCTAGATCTAGATCTAGTTAGTTTTTAAATATATATTTCATGGTTTTCATTTGAACCATTCCACACAGTCTAATGCATAGCATAGCAATTTCTGTGCTTTGGACCAATCCGGGGTGAGGGCATCTGTTTTTTCCCTTGATTTGACGGTTTGATTTTGCGATTAGATCTATAGATCTATATCTAGATCTCTAGATCTAGACTAGATTTAGATCTAGAATCTAGATATAGATATAGATCTAAAAATTTCTTCAATATTATTGATTGGCTCCTTATTGATTTGGTACAGATTTCGTGGCCCTAATCAACAGCAGCAAAAAATACTGCAGTCTGATCCCAAACACAGTGCACGAGAGTGAAAGTGAAAAAGTAGCCTTAACATTTTTTTTACCGAATTGATTGCTTTCCGAGTCAATGACGAGAAGATTAAACCTAGATCTAGGCCTAGGAATCAAGGAGGTTGCTAAGACCTAAGAATGTATAGATCTAGATTAGATCTAGAACTAGATCTAGATTCTATATCTAGATCTAGCCTCTGGGCGGCTTTGGAGTGCAATGCAAGGTTAAACTGGATGACTTGAACTTGTAGTCTGTTGGTGAATTCCGAGGCGGAGACCAAGATCAAGAGGGTGGGGATTAAAAAACAAACAAACCAGCAGCCGCAAGTGCAAGTCAAGTAAACAAAAGGGGGTCTGCCGGTTGGATACCCGTGTATTTTTGTCATGAACCGCATTATTCTAAATCTATCCCAGTCCCAATATAAGGATGCTTGAACTCTTTCTTACTTCCAGATAAAGCGAACAAACTAATGAAGCCGTTCGACAACATACGGCTAGGACTAGATCTAGGAGTAGGACAGGTGGTGAGCTATCAAGAAGAGCTTACTTGTCTGACCAGCAAAGGCCAGTGGCTGACTGCTTGTTCTACTTTCGGTATATTTACACGGTCGTTGTTTTCTAATTTTGGAGACTTCCGTTAAGCGCAATCGCAATGCGCAATAGAAACTCTCGCGATAGTTCCCGAGCCTGCGTTTTTTTGGCCAATCGACACAGAGATTCTCATGCGTCTCGAAAACTTGGGTCACAACCTCTGACCTTTAGTACAGCCAGAGAGGACACAGCATATTTTGACTCAAAATTGTTAATATTTCTGGAAGTTGAATTCTCAGTAAGTATTTAGCGCTATTTTATGTTCATGAAATCATTTTGGTAACACCGATTGTTCATTTATTGCTGTATTTTGCTTCCCTAAAGAGTGATGTGAAGGGTCTAGTTTCGACAGCCGCCATTCCCATGTCTCGCATTCTGGTTCTGGCTCGTGTGTGTAAATTACTTCCCTCCGATCCGTCTGTCCTTGTACATAACTTTCTTCATTGACTGTTATGAACGTTGTCCTGTGTTTTACTGACTGTCCATATAATAAAGCTTTAATTTAGTCTCACATTCAGGTGGCATTCGGGTTTCTGGGCAGGAAGTGGCGTCTCAAAAGTTTCCCTGAACAGAGGCCATTCGTAAACATAACCCCATATCATTTGCCACATGGGTCTGAGTGCGTGACCTTTGGGTGTTTGTATATCATTGACACACTTGAGACAGGAATACCTATTTAACTTAATTTAATTAATTTTTTTACGTTTCAGCTGGTAGTAATCCCTTTTATGATCATTTCTGTTACTCTTCCCAGAGTGTGCAACCTTATAACACCGCACAATGAAGCCGCCCCCGATATTATCGATCTTTGCCGACCTTTGTCCTTTAGCTCACGGTCAGCAAAATAGATCTAGGTCGAAAGCATATTTTATGCAAATTCCTCGGTCACTGAACTGTTGCGCTAGTTACTGAGGTTTTGCCGGTGAAAAATGACCCAGAAAACATTTGGAACCCAGATAAGTTGGTGGCGAGGGGAGACTCCATGGTACACCGCGGGTACTATGTTTGGTTTGAAATGGGGTGGGAAATCAGTGAGCATGTGAGGTGAGATAAGGAAAGGCTGCCCGTCATCCGCCCTGTGTATGAATCATGTTTTTCTTGCCATCACGCCCAAGCCCAAGTGAAGCTAAAAAAGAATATGGTAGGCTGCCAAGGTATAAAAATAGCATGTCTATGTACTAATGTAATAATTTAGTTATAATGAAGTTAAAATGAGGCCGAACTGTCTTACCTCAGGTTTTGAAGCTAACTGTTTTTACCGCTGGTGTTATCGCCGTCTAGGCTAACCTAACATTTGACACAACTAATCCCTTGAACTTTACCCCTTCACCCCTCTCCCCCCACTACAGGCCTATATGCCCCGCATTCTCGTCACTTCAGGGTCTTAGACTAAGGCTAAATTACTTCATCAGTGCCATACATGCTTTAATTAATGATCAATTACATTGTGCCTTTTTCAGGGAGAAGGGAGGGAGGGATTTCATAGTTTTTGAACCAGGATGCTGTTCCTTATAATAGATCTCTATGTCTGACGAGTGTTTTAAAATAGTTGTCACATCTCCCCCTCTGTCAGCAGAGCTCTTTCCTGTGGATTCTGCTGTTTTAGTTTTAACCAATCCAACTTTGCCATATAACAGTCTAGATCTAGATATGGACAAGGCTATCTGAATATTGGTAGAAATACTGTCTCTTTCAAATATGTGAAATCTTTTTCTTTTTTTTTTAAATTTCTGCTACAGCTTGGCATGAAGCATTTTGATTGACTGCTTTTGGCGATCACAACATATAATGGGAAAGAAGACTTTTTTAACTGTGGTATGCATCAGCCTTACCAATATCAAGAACTTTATTCGCCAGTTCCATTTTCTGTTGCCTGTCTTATTTACCATGAATTGTATATATAGGCTTACTGTCAGAGTTTGTAAAATACAACAAACCAATAATATAACTGTGGTAGACCTCAGGTTGTGCATATTTTTCAAATGTCCTGGCTCTCTTTGCACACCCACAGCATCAGATCCTGGATTAGATGAATGAATGAAAGCCGAAGCATTTGTATACGTAGGTCAGAACATCACCAGGAAGAGACAAAAGGTTAGGAGAGCCAACAATGAAAATAAGAGATGGACATTTTCTGACTTTGTGAATTCATGTTAGAGAAAGATGCATTCACAGGAAGAAAGGGATACGGTTGTTAATGAAAGAATAAGAAGAGCCAGTGGAGCCTTTTTGCAGGTGAGGAATATCTGAGATGGAGAATTAATTCAGTCTCACCATGCAGATCAAGCTGAGGATATTCAGTGGAAATGTCTTATCAGTCCTGTTATATGGAGCAGTGGTGTGGAGGACAATCACAACAAGTGAGGAAAGTGTATACATACCTTTGTTGGGTAATCTCTTGTCCATTGTATCAACACCATCCAAGATATCTGGCCGTTGACAACTAAAGAGTGCTTTAAAAAGTTTTTCTGTGGAACTTATCATCTGCAAGCTATGTAAATGCATGAACGAAGAAAGACATTTTTCGAGAGAGAGAAAATGGAGGTTGCCCTGACATTGTGTATCTTTTCTTGCTTTTTTCAACGTTTAGAATTTGAATTTCAACCAAATATTTCTCAAGTATATATGCAACCGATATTACAGATAAAGAAACTGGAATAAAAAGTCTAAATTATGGGCTTGAAATAGTTGAGCAGCTTGGGGATGATAAGTTCCAGAGTCTTAAGGACTTTGACTGATGTGGGGTGAGTTTTATAATAAAGTACCGAACAGGGAGTTCTAGAGGGACCTTGTGTGGTCTATGCTCCTCTGAGGGTGATGAAGGATGACGGTGATGGTCTGTCCGTAAGATCGATTTCTTTATCTTTCTTCAGGGACATGCTGATTTTCCTCTTCCTTTGTCTCTTGAAGAACCGTTTGAAATCTGAGCAACCTTAGTTTTGTGTTGACCTAATAGTGTTGTTACAGAGCTGATATTTTAAACCTTTTTCACATCAAATGGAATTTGTCTCTCCTGTCTTTCCTCCTCTCCAAACCCCCCCTCCTTTTTTTTTACTACTGGTCCCAAATACTCGCTTCAAACCTTAGGTATAGCCGCTGTCAGAGCATCTTATCTGGGACCTAGCACGTAGTTAAGTATGGTAGATTTGCCATACTTTGTTTTTACAGCATGTCGCAGTTGATGATTGTTTCTCACATGTGAGTAGAGCAAGTTAAAAGTGCTGTTTGCATAGTTCCAAATTACGTAGTAGAAAATTTTTTATAATAGATTGTTCTGTTTTTCCTTTTTTCAGCCCCATCCAGGTGTATGCAGTGCACTGGCAAGTCAGAACCTCATGGCTACCTTGGAGGAGGGCACAGCAGTTGAGACAAAGAAAGAGCTTGGCTCAGAGATCGATGCTGCCGCTGCGGCCGTCATCGATGGCGCGGAAATGATCCATGTGATGACCTCAGGAAGTTCAGGGTCTGTCACTTTGCCGATCACCCTAACCCAAGGCGGACTTGTGTCCCTTACATCGCCTGGTCAGTCTGTAAGTGCAGAAGTGTTTTATTCTACTTTTTGTATGTTTATTTTGCAAAAGTTTGGCTTGTTTTAGGTAACTAGGGCAGCTTTGTGAATGTACATCCGAGGCCTTGTAAGTGTTTCCATTTCTGACAGAGCCGTACAGAATGCCTGTCAATGAGGCTACAAACATTCTCACATCTACTTTCTGGCTCATATGTATAATTCAAAGTTTTTTGGGGTTTTTTGTTTGTCAGCACAGAAAGGTGTAGATGGCAAAATGAGAGATTGTTTCCACACATTTTTCAGCTATGGCAACAGTGTTTCTATTCACTTTTAAGCTTGACTGGTCATGTAGGTTGGTCGCCACTCAGAAACCAGTCTTAAAAAGTGAGCAATTTGTTTTCAGTAATGATAAAATTTCTGACAGTGGGTCTTTGGAGCGTCAGTTATATAAACAAAAAATATATTAGAAACTGGATTCAGATTTAATATGGAATAAGATTAGCACCATGAATGCGTACTGCTTACATTGTTTGCTTAGGAGATTGTCCATATGATTTGCTGTATGATAATCGCAAGCCAGTGTCAGTCTGTCCAGATGTAGTTTTCTGTCTGGTCCTGTCTTGTATGTCTGCATCCAACATGGCCTTTTTGTAAAAAAAAATTCTCCTCTCTACACAGGTTGTCCAAGTACCAGCCGGCTCTCTCGCACAGGTCGACTGGGCTTCTAAATTGAAGGTATAAGGAGGTTTTTATTCTGTCCAAAAAAAGTTGCATGTTGTGTGTTTGGGTGTCCTTTTTTTCTGTAAATTTGCTGATTACATTATGTTCAGGGAGTCTTGGTCTATATACAGTCAAACCTGTGTAAGACGGCCACCCATTGTCAAGGAGAAAAGTGGCCGTCATAGGCAGGACTGATCAAGATGAAGAAAACAAACCATTCCCTTCTGAAGTGCCAATCGATTGTTGTTGTTTATGTTGTTGTTGATTTGTACTTTGTTTGTTGTTTCTATTTTGTAGCTGATTTTGCGCAAGGGTGACAATAAAACGAAATGTATCAGACTAGGAAGACCGAGTGCCGTGTTGAAACAACATGGGTCTCAATATTCCGCTATTTAGCGGATTTGCGCTACCGCCATTTCCTCCGCTAAACTCTGCTACCGCGATAGCGGGTCAATCAGAAAGAGAGTTGCTGGAAGCAGAGTGACTGCCAGGCCTCGGGAATTACCCGGGAATTTTTTTTAAATCGCAGAGACACGGGAAAATACATAAAAGATCTCGAATATTATTTGAGAACCAAATCCGATTTATCGTCTTTCAGTTCATTTTTGCCGGTCGCGATTGTGATATTAATTCGGCTTTTCCCGGTCTGAGAGTACATTTCACGCGAACAGATGTGACACCGAGGCTCGACCGGAAAACCAAGATCTCAGAAATTTGTCTGTAAAAGTCTGAATACGCAACATTTGTAACATGCAGGTTCTGCATTACAAACGTGGTGTTGCCATGAAAATAATGTTCGTCACTGTGCTGTCGCTTGCGGGGGCAAAAAAAAAAAAGAAAAGAAAGTTATACAAGCGTCTTGTCGGGCTCGTCATTGTGACCGGTCAATGAACCTGCGCGCGTTCTGAGCGCTGTGAAGTACAGGACTCCGGAATGGGGGGAGATTATTGATTTTTTTTAAAAAAGATACACTCGGGGATGGGGGGAGGGCTGATATGATGAAGGTAAAATAAATAAGTCGCACAATACCACAGTGCGCCTCCACTTTCTGTACGTAATCAAGATTGTAAATATTTGGTAAGTGACTCTTACTTGAAATTATCTTCCAAACCCTCAAACTGGTATGAAATAACCTTGCTTTGATAAATTGATGGTTTTTATTTCAACATTCTAGGGTCCAACAGTATAATAATAGTGGGTGTCTCGCGAAAATGGGCTTCTGTCGCGATCACGCGGAAAGTTCCTCCTTTTAAAAAATTCTGAGTTGAGACCCATGAACAAACACATGGGTCGCCACCACCCAGAGAACGAGCGACGCTTCTGTCACAAGTTCATGTTGACGTCCATTGTTACTTTGTTACAGATTGACAGTGACCACTCATCTCACTTACGGTTTGCATATGAGCTCTGGGCAGTGCTTATGGGTTATGAGGGATGAAAATTGGAAGCCTACCTATTGGTCAACAGAGGGAGGGGCCTACGCAACATGATCGGTTGGAGGGACTACCTAACAACAACAACAAGTGATTGGATTATGACGGCTTGCCCACAACGCCAGGGGCCAATGCACAATTTATGACAAAACGTAATGGAGTCACTAAGGTGGCCGTCTTAGACAGGTGTTATTGCTTAGTGTGACAGGGGTTGTGTGTTAAAATATGGTGGCCGCGTCCGCGTTGGACAGGTACCTGTTTTACACAGTTAAATTATATTGAAAAAATGCAAGGGGAGAAATGGAAAGTGGCCGTCTTATAGAGGTGGCCGTCAGGGCAGGTTGAACTGTACTTGTGTTTCTTGTCTGGCAGTTTTATTTTACAGATGCTTCCTCAACTTTTGTTTTCTTTTGGGCTCCAGTAAGGTCTAGGAGTTTGCCTGTACAGAAGAAAAAATGAGAATAAAAATAGATCATTTAAAAAAATCTTTGTACAGTTTGATTGTCCATCATAATGTTCAGGATGTTGCTCATTGCTGCAAACTTATGAGGGATTACATCTAATTGTACTTTCTCTTTGACGGCAATTCATGCAACATTGCATCAGCTCCTTGGTTAGCTGGTCTTTACAAAAGAACCACATCAGTCCCCACAGGGACATTCTATGTCCCAGTTTTTTGAGTAATGTAAGTGTGCTGCTGTTCGCTACTGAGCATGTAGCAATCTTCTCCTGACCTGTTGTGTTGTGGTCCTCAGGAGCTCCAGCACGCTCAGAGGTTGGAGAGACTACGGGAGGAGCAGCGCCAAGTTCAGGACAGAGTCACCCAGAAAATGCAGTTTGAACAAAAATATGAACCCTGTGTGGTTTGTGGTGACAGGGCATCAGGTGAGACTATGAAAGTGAAGTGCCCTGGGCAGTCTTTATGGTTCAAATAGTTGTGGGTGGTTGGTGGGTGTTCTGGTGTAGTTTGCTACTGCTTTCCTATCAAACATATACCACATGGTGCCACCATTCAGTATGTGATAACAAAAGAAACAACATCTAGAAACTAGTCCAGATGTTGCAGAGGATTTCGTTCTTCTGACATTTAGAAATAATTACTGCACAAATTTGGGGGGGGGGGGGGTTGATGACTTCTCGTTCCCAGTCTAGAATATGACCTCTCTACTACTGGTCCCGCATGTAGCTTGTACAGTGGGGATAGTTGTCTGATCCAAGAATTATGCTCTGCAAATTACCCCCCCCCCCCAAAAAAAAAAACAACAAACAACAACAACAAACAAACAAAAATTTAAAAAAAAATTTTAAATAAAAAATAAAGAAAAAATATATATATAATTGTGGATTTGAAGTGTATATGTGTGTTATAGCTGTCATGTCTTTGTGTTCCCTTGCAGGGCGTCACTATGGGGCCATCAGTTGTGAAGGCTGTAAAGGTTTTTTCAAGCGTTCCATTCGAAAGCAGCTGGGCTATGCATGCCGCGGCTCACGGGACTGCCCTGTCACAAAGTTGCATCGCAATCGCTGCCAATATTGTCGCCTACAAAAGTGTCTGGCTGTCGGTATGAGATCTGAATGTAAGTCACTGCCTGCAAAGATACCCTTCTCAACAAATCTCTGTGTCCACATTACTTAAGTTTATGTGCCAATTCAACGATACAATTTCGGTTCCAGATTTCACCACTTTTCTCTGCCTTCAAGAACAAATAATGATAAAAATTGAGGAAAATCCCTTTCTGACAAGCATGAGCAAGACTCACAACTTTTACTTTAAAAATTTGAAATGTTTCATAGTGCAGAGCTTTTTGTGTGTGTGTGTAAGGGATAAAGAAAAACTGATTTTGACTTTCAGTTATCTTTCTTTTAGTATGGGTGTTAGTCGAAAGTGGCCAGTTGCATCAGCATTTTTAGTAATATTAAATTATGTGCATAGTATTTGGTATGATAATGTTGACTGGTTATTTCCTCAAACAAGGAGGAAATTCCTGACTGTTCAGTCAAATTTGAGATTGAAATTCAGAAAAAATTGTTAGTGTTTCCAATATTATGCACACTTTTGGGAGAGAAAAAAATGTATGCATATGGCCACAAGACGGGAGAATTGTGTCATAGAGTGCATCTGTTCTGCGTTGATAATTTTAGTGGTTTTGTCATCAGCTGTCCAGCAGGAGAGGCGTCCATCGGACCAACGAGACAAAGTGCCTGTCACTGTGGCCACATCCACTCAGAGGATATATATCCGAAAAGACTTCAACAGCCCCTCAGCTGCAATACCCACCTTCAGCCCTAAGGTAATCCTCAGCTCCTGATAGACTTTTTTTCTTCTTCTATTTAACCCTTTGAGTCCTTGCAACTGGAACATTGTTGGCTTGTAAAACTGCCCGTATGCCTAGCCAACGGTACAACGGTTAGTGAAACCCCATCCCCAACTCGGCCCACCTGAGACAAAATGCGTGTATGGAAAACAAGGTTTAGCACACAGGACGTTATTGATTATTTTGAAGATCTTAATAAATTAGATGCTGGTAGTGACAAGGACTACCCTGAGTGGGATATGGAATGTGATTCTGATGATCATATGAATGTTAACAATATATCTCTCAGGAACTCAGCAGAGGGGCAGGGTAGACCCAGGAGGTCGGGGCTCGAAGGATTAATGATGAGTTCAAAATAACAAAGTCTGGTGTATTTTTTTAGTACAACAAAATGTCTTTGATAATCACAGAGCATGATTCCCTCTCTTTCTGACATGATCATCATTCATTATCTGCTCAGCATAATTACAATTCATTTTCTGTGAGACGCGATCATGATTTATTATCTGTGAGGTGTGAACATGATTTATTATCTTTGGGGCATGATCATGTTTCGTTTTATGTGTCATACAAGTGATTCACTATCATTGAAACTTGATCGTGTTTCATTATTTGTGAAACTTGGTCATGTTTCAGTACTTGTGAGACTTGATCATGGTTTATTATCTCTGATGCGCAATTATCATTCATTATCTGTGAGGCGCCGTCTGATCTGCATGTGAGATAACTTGCATTGTCTGTCTACTATCCTTGTTTCAGGTGCAGAGCCTGGAGGACCCCAAGTACGGGAGTCTGCTGGCCAACCTGCAGGAGCGTGTGGTGCAGACAGACCAGGGCATGGTGGTGCTCAGCTCCCAGATGCCGTCGCCCAGCTCAACGGTCAACACGGGTCAGTTCCTCTGTAGTCGAGCCTAGCGCTTACCATAGTTTGCTCCTAGAGTTGATTCTCTCCCTGTCCAGGGATGGACATGCTCAAGTTTTGGGGGCTTTTTTTTTTCTTATTTATTTGTTTATGTATTTATGTTGTATTTATTTTATTTTTTTATTTATTTTTTTTAACGTGAGTTCAGAAAAATTGTTGGGGGGGAGGATTTCCGGAACATTGGTTGTTTTGGGGAATCCAATTTTCTCAGGGTTTTCTTCCTGACTTAAAACTTCAGGGTTGTTGACATCCAGATTTGTGCCCATCCCTGCCTGTAGATGTTTGAACACTTGAGCTTGAGTGGTTTAGCTTTTTGGTTTGTTTGTTGGTGGGTTTTTTGTGTGGTTTTTTTCAAATATTGCTTGCTACTTCAAAGATATTCCATTGACTAGATGTGTTCTTTAATGTACAAAACTAGCACCAAAATTCTACTATATGTCTCTTATTTTTTTCTGGGATCTTTTGCTGCATGCATGCTTCTGCCAGGGTTGCCTAATGCCTGCCTAGTTCAAGACTATCCTGAAATATTTATAGTCCATAAAATATAGGGACTTTAGGTGTCGTAGGTTATTTATTATGCTTTTGATATTTTCCTGAAAAGCCTGATTGCTAGATTTTAACTTTGTAAAGGTGAAAAGGCAACCCTGTGTCGACCAATGTATCTGTGAAGTGTAGACGGTTGTCAGGAGGAACAATCCTGTCATTTCTCTGTGGATGCTTTTAATGTCTGTAGCTGTCTTTATATATACATAAGCTTACCACCAGTATCTAGGTATAGTCTTGATCTAGTTATGATGTCCTCCATGTTTATTTGACATTGTGTCTAATGCATGTGTGTAGGGGGATCCTTGTGCAGGCTGGAATTGTCAAACCATGAAAGGGATTTGGCTCTTTGAAAATTGAACTGGTGTTATTTGTGATGTTTGGGTTTTTTTCGGAGGGGGGGGGGGGGTGAAAGTTTGTAACTTTAGTATTTCATGGAGTAGGGTATTGTTTGAAAACAAGACATAGTAGTGAATTGTTTTGGTGGTGGGGGTGGGGGCTCCACTGTCTTGCCCGTGCATGGCATCAGTTATAATTCAGTGTCTCCCATATGAACGCAACGTGTCTTTTTTGTGTGTTTTTAACCCTTGACATTTCCTAATGTTAGCCGCTAGAATTTTTGTGTGTTTCTTTTTTTTTTTTTTTTTTTTTTTTTTCTGTTTGTTTTTCATTTTGTTTTTATTTCCCCATCTTATGCTCATCGTCCATGCTGATCAGATCTCACAACTTTAGCCAATGTTGTCAGCACTGTGAGCAATACTGAAGGTAAAGCATTTCACACTATTTCTCCTCAAACTTTGCAGTCTTCACCCTATTCATGTGCCCCACTGTTAAAGCAATCTCATTTGAATTTTTCATCATTTATTACAAACATAACTCCAGCTGTTTTCTAAGCTTTCTTCAGGGGGCTCTCGTAGTCAAGGGGTTACAGTGATCATCTTTCATTCAATAGGTCCCGGGCTCGAATCCAGATAGCGACAGGAAAATGTTCTTCAAAAAAATTTCTCCTTTCACCTTCTTTCCTGCTCTAACAATGTTCTGTCGTCTGCTTTCATCTCCACTTTCTACCCCCACCTGGGCTCCTCACTTTTGCTACTGCTACGCCTTGGCTCCTTACTGCTGTCTTTCAGCCACACCCCTGATCTTATGGTAGGAAAGATCTAACACCTAGCCTTCTCTGATAAGGGCGAAAAATCTCGGATGTCCCGTATGCAAGTTGTGCATGTTTAAGATCCCGTTGTGGTCAAAAATCGAAAAGTGTAGACTTGGGCCGCCACCCGCGCAAAATTCAAAATTTCCTAACAACTGAAAATGTTTAATGTGTCCTGCATGCTTATATGGCCATATACAGTTGTGAGCGCTGTAAAACACTTACCAAAAAAATTACCTTTCTTCACAGTGTAAGAAGTCTGTTTTGGCTCTTCATGAAATCGTTCAAAGCTGGTACTTATGAAGTAGAAAAAAGAATTGTAACACTTAACAAGTGTCAAGGTTTTTGACCAAAGTTTTTCTCGTAATGGATGGCTTACTGAGCTATTGGTTTCACTTTCTTGTCTAGTAGGAATGGTGAATAGAAAGTGTATACTACTTATTAATGATTAATTACAGGAAGTATTCTTATAATAATGAACTACCACATATTGCCAAATTTTCTTTGCTTCAAATTTTACTCTATCGTGCACTCATCAGCAATTTTCTTGTCTCAAAATGGTCATGTTTGTGAGGATTTTCTTCCTTTATTGAATCCATGTGGTGTGGATCAATACGTCGTTTTTTGGGGGTTTTTTTATCAGTTGGTATTGCAAATAGCGCATTTTGTTCCTTGGTTAAAAAAAGGTGACGTCCTCTGGATGTCTTACACTTAGTCTTCTTGAGACGCTGAACTGTTTTTTCTTTGACAGTGTAGTCCTCTGAGCTTTCTGTAGAGCTATTTTCATTAACAGATTTCATCCATTCATGTAGATGTAAAGTCAGTACAAGTCACAGATCTGAATTCTGGAGGAAATTATGGAATGACATTCAGTGTAGGAGCAGACAGCAATAATTTATGTGGTCTCTTTCCACTGTAAGTTCCTGAAGTGAAATACTCAGTTGATATTTGGGACATTAGAAAACCTGTGCGCTGTTACATTATTTAACTGACATCAGTTTCATTCATGTCAAATACAGTGGGAACTGTGATGCGTGACTCATTGCCTGTCGTATAATACTTGTTTATCTTCTTCTCGAGGATTGTTTTTCTTCAAATTTTATTTTTCCACTTGATAACAGAACAACAGAGCAATAGAATTTGAAGTAAACTGTTGGCTTCAAAATTGCAACAAAAAAAAGCCTTGCTTTGTTATTTCATAGCCTTTTTTTTTTTGTTACCTAACTTTAATGTTCGAAGCACATCTTGGTATCTTTATACTTTACTTTGAGCTATAAGTACACGACTTTAGATTGTTGCCATTTTTTTATTTAACAGATCCATTTTTATGTATAACCTTTCATGCAAAAATCTGCATATATGTATTCTAATCAATTCATCACTGATGGAAGTGAAGAAAGAGTATCATTACAATTAGAAAACAAAATGATTTTTAAAAACTTAGTTCAGACTGTAGTCTGATAACTGTGCTTTTTAGAAGTGATATGCTTTGTTAAAGATGACTCTGCATTTGCTAACTTGTGTTGCAACTGTGTTAGTCATTGCATCCCTTTATTTTCACTTTCTTAATCATACGCTCGCTTATGAGGTGAACGCATTTTGCAATTCATGGTCAAATGTCAGAACGTGGTGCTGTGTTCCATATTATATATATATATATATATATCACTTGTTGTGCCACTGCCCACTGTTTGATTTTGATTGATTTGCACAATGTGCTCACTGCTTTCAATATATTGGTTTTCATTTGCTTTTCTTGTGGGAATTCCCTTTTGTTTTTGCTACTTTGTCCTCTGATCAGATCTGAGCACTCTGGCGGATGTAGTGTGCACAGTTAACAACACAGAAGGTAAATCTCATGAGACACACTCTGACCTTACTTCTAATTTTTATTGTTCATGGGGTCATAAATCCATGACGTATGTACTGATTTAGTCACTGTTAATGTCATTGTGCATGTGGTCCTTGATAACTGTCATTCTTGCAATGAAGGAACAGAAATTATGAGTCAGATTTAGTCTTATTGGAAGGCTCAGTATAAATAGTGACAGAAACTCAAACTATTTTACAGAGTTATGTTGTCTCTGTGTCAAGAGAGGAATAAATCATTTCAACGTTGTTACTCTCATTGTAAAGGAGTGTCATACTGAGTTTCTCGTTTTCCTTTTGTCCATGACAATATGTAGTGTTTGCAGGTAGCAAATATTCTGTATGTTACTTAGATAACATATATAGTAAGTTTACCAGGCCTAAAAGAATGTTCAACCAAAGACAATAACATAACTGTAAAAACAAAACAAAAAAACAGTTGAATGCTCTATAGAAGAGGACTGTTTTGTTTGCATTTGCCATATCAGCTTGGAGTGCTGATCATTCCTAGAGTACATAGATTGATATTATTGCATGCCAGGTTTGGTGCTAACAACCGTTGTTCTCCCATCCCCTGTCAAATGATGAAAATACTGTGGACAATTCCCCGTAAACACCAACTGAAAATTTGTCGGGACACAGTGAAATTGCCTCCTGTGTCAGTTACTCATGAGCAGCTGGTGACTTTTGTCCAGGACCTCATACTCTGCTTTTCTGTTTTCGTATAACCTGAGGGACTCACGTAAATATGCGGAACGCTTGTCTGTTGCTGCCACAAACACACACACTCATACATATATATATATATATATATATATACACATTATAATCTTGCTCTTTTGTGCAAGTATATTTATTGTACAAGCAATATAACACGTTATAATTTTTTTTCACTCTTCTGCTTCTTTTTTTCTAATTATTTACTTCATGCCATTGCTGTGTATATGTAAAGAATAAATTATTCAGTACCATAGCTCTTGAACCAGATCAGCAACTGCTCAAAGTGCAGTTTGTTACCATAAGCTAATGGTTGGTTCAGGTTTTGTGTGAGAACTTCTTGATGCTGCTTGTGTGGGCTGTGAGTTTCCCCCGCTGTGTCATAGCATAGGGCCAAAGAATCAAATGTGTCTGTCTGTGGTATCTTTGGGATATCGATGGCTTGTTTCCTCCTTCTCCTTTCCCCCTATCTGTATGTGTGTGATTCCTCCATGTTTGTTTTTTTCTGTACATTGTGGATGGGTCATGTTTCCGTTCTAAGTAATTGTAGTTTAGATTTTCATTGTGCCTCGTTTTTAAACTCCTGACCTTGGTTTGGGAGAGAGGAAGTCCATGGTATTCTTCTGAGGGCCTGATATAGTGTCCTTTGGGTTGCAGACTTTGAACCGTCTATTGAATTTTTTTTTCTTGGAGTTTGTTGATTTTTTTTTTTCCTGGTACATTCTGAGCCTGGTGTTGTTCAATCACATGTGTGGTTTTGATGAGTAGTTGCATCTATCAAGAGTCCACATAACTGTCTCTTCGGAGCACATCATGTTGAGTGGCAGGTTGTGCAGTGTGTTTGTCATTTGCTGCTCTTCTATTGTGATAATTTCTTTTGGTGGCTGGTTGGAGGGTGCTCTGGTGTGGTTTGCTCCTTTTTTCCTATCAAACATCTATAGTCCTTATCTCTCCTCTTTTGTCTTTGTTTCTCCCTTCTTGTAACATCTCTAATCTTTGGCACTTATATGACCTTATTGGGTTCCAAGTGCCGTTGAACTCTTGCGAAAACGAAAATTTCTTTTGGAGAATTGAGGAAGGTAACGTTTGGTCTTTGCCCATAGAATATGGAGTCTGGTGTTTGGAAAAAAAGTATATTTATTGCCCACATGAAGCTGCGGATTAGTGAGATTGTGTGGGTGTGTCCTTGACAGTGTTGCCTCTCCTGCCTGTTGTCCTTCTGTGCTAAACACAGCTAGTATCTTTACATTCTCCCCAGCATGTTATTGTATTGCAAAACCCATGTGGGTGGTTGGTGGAGGCTCTGGTGTGGTTACCTCAATTTTTCCTATCAAACATCTATCGTCCTTTTCTCTCCTTTTTTGTGTTTGTTACTCTCTCGTAACACCTCTTAACTTTGACACTTATATTACCTAATTTTGTTGCAAGTGCTGTAAAACTCTTACTAAAACAAGCATCATTTTTTTGCAAAACCCGTGTATGGTAAGGATGGTGTATATGTATATGTTGCCATTCCTCAGATTTGTCAACATTGGCCAGCGTGGTGACCACATTAGCCACCATGGGCAAAGAAGAGGTGAACCTGGAAGAGCTGTCCGCTGGCCAGACAGCCTCGCCCCTCCAGAATAATGGAGATGCAAACCGCAACACGCCTGACGCTGCGGCCAGAGCTTTTGACAATCTGGCTAAAGCTGTGCAGAGTCCTCAGAGCCAGGTATAGTAATGCAAAGTCAGTTGTCTCACCTGTTTGTCGGGTTTTGTTTATGAAAGGAAGGTGGGGTGTGGGTGTGTGTGTGTGTGGGGGGGGGGGGGTAAATTGATCAGACCATAAAGGTGTGGAAATCTTATTTTATATCAGCAATTCTGGTGTTGAATGCTCTCTTTACATATATCAGAGCTGATTGAGCTTGTAATTTTTTTTTTGTTGCTGCGAGCTGGCATTTGAACACTGATGACGAGTCTCCCTGTCGGATGCTTTCAAGTTACACGCTACTTCACTGCTGCTCACAGTCTCTTGTGATACATAAACAAAAAAGCTGAAAAAAATCCATTGCAAACCCATCTGCACCTCCATGGCCATGTTGTAGTTTCTGAAGTGTTGAAGGCTTGGGGCTTGATAGACCTATCATTACTTAGTTTTTCCTCACTCAACAGATTAAATGTTAGATCTAACATATTGCTTCTTCTTTTTCTCAGCAAAACTCGACAGTCTTAGATCAAAGTGGTCTGTCAGAAGCAAGCTTTGACCAGTCTGCAAATAGCGATGGCGAAAACTCTTTGTTAGTTGAAACTCAAGGTAAGTGTCTGTTAGAAGACAGGGGTTTTCGTTTGGGAAGTCAATGACACTGGTGAATGAGCGGCAATGTCTGTCTAAGTTAACCAACCAGGTTACATTATAGTTTCTACTTTTCCTTCACATTTCTAATGCCAGTGTTGAGGCTTTCTTGTCTGCTTTTCCAGAAGTTGTTCTTAAATTTTATGACCATACTATCTTTCCAAACAGTCCTGCAGACCCATTGGTGGGTCAATTTGTTCCTAGAAACTGCTCTTTTGTTCTTTCCCAATGGACTGTCTGCTTTTCACTGAGAACTACTGTGAGTGGGAATTTGTGACAAAGAGTTTAAGGTTGATGTGCCCCAAGGCAATTTCATGGCCTTTATTCTTTGAATACATTTTGTTCTTGACCTCATTTTATGGAGCAGATGTGATGGCTTAAGAAAGAAGTGCTTCTTTTACTTCTTTTCATTTTTAATATTGTACTGTTCCATTCCCAGCAAAATAATAATAACAATAAATAGCATTTGTTTAGCGCATATCCCCATTTACAGCAAGCTCTATGCGCTTTACACTATATTAAAATGAGAGACTTTTTTGTGTGCTGACATACTTAACATTATATTTCAAAGACAATAATCAAAATACATTTTTAAAATACAAATGTCCCTGTTGCTGTTTCAGGTCCAATACTTACGGAGGCAAACTTTGCCTTCACCCTGACCACCCCGTCCCCCATGCCGACATATCTGAACATTCACTACATCTGTGAGAGTGCCTCTCGACTACTCTTCCTGTCCATGCACTGGACTAGATCTGTCTCTGCTTTCCAAGACCTTGGGTAAGAAATTAGTTTGTTTTTGTGTTTGTTTGTTTATTGCCCTTTTACTGATCTTCCTTATGCATGAAGCATTTTCTGTCTCTACCTCATTTGTCTTTTTTTTAGGGTTCCATGTGTGGGTGGTTGATGGGTGCTCTGGTGTGGTTTGCTTCTTTTTTCCTATCAAACATCTATCGTCTTTATCTCCCCTCCTTCTTTTTTGTGTTTGTTACTCTCTTGTCACACCTCTAATCTTCGGCACTTATATGACCTTATAGTGTTGCAAGTGCCGTAAAACACTTACTAAGACTAAACTACTTAGGGTTCCATGTAAGCGATGTCACATTTTGTCCTGTTGTATTTGTTTATATTTGGAAATGAATTATGTGCGTCAGTTATTCTTCTGTCTCTCGCGATGTCACTTTAAACTCCATGGATGCAATGGCTTGACCCTAATTTTTTTTTGTTACTGCAGATGTGGATTTTTTAATCTGAATAGTTTCCAAGTAAAGTTTAGGATTTTTTGACAAGCAAAAATGACTACTCTTATTGACTGGATCAAGCCATAAGTTATAACAGTTTATAAGCTGTTTATTTGTTTGTTTTTAAGTGGGTTTTTTTTGTTTGTTTGTTGTTTTTTTTAATTGCATAATTGGTTTGAGAATACATTTTTTATTGAAAACAAAGACAAGTTCTTATCATGAATTTTTTGGGGTTTTTTTGTTGTTGTTTTTTTTTTTTAGGGGGGGGGGGGCAGCTGCTTCTTTGATTAAATATTTTGTTACATATGTGCTGTTTGCCTTAATTGTTCTTTTGAATGTTGTTGTGGTCAGACCGGACCTCCAGACAACGCTAGTGCGGTCATGTTGGAGTGAGCTGTTTACGCTTGGCCTGGCTCAGTGCTCCGCTACCATGTGTCTGCCCACCATGTTGGCCGCTATCTTGAATCATCTACAGGCCAGTCTGCAGCGAGGAGGTAAGTGCACCTAGAATGAGCTTCCTATATGTTGTTACTTTTAAAACAGACAAATTAAGGGACTTGATCTCTCTCCCTGTCTTTGCGGCGGGCCTACTTTCATTTTTACTTTTGGGACATTTGAAAAATGAAGCACATGAACTTTAAAAAAAAATTTTTTTTTCTTCCTACTGGGTTACCTCACTGAGGGGGATGGTCTGGGCAACCCAGGAGTTTCAAGAACTCAGCTAAAGTAGAGGGCTGTTGAAAAATCATCACTCACTTATTTATCATCCACTTTTCTTGATTTTTGGATACGTAATGTATGTTTTAATTCAATGCTCTTTCAAGAAATAAAACTGTAAAAAAACCTGTGTTTATAAGTTTTAGATGTATGATCCGGCCGAAAATGGAGACCAGGTAATGATCTTTTATTGTGCTGTATAATGTTTTGCCGAGTGCTCTAAGTAGACTAAGAGAGATCAAATCTTTTGATTCATTCAAAGGTCAGCTGAAGTCACTGCTGTTTTTAAAGTAATAAGATGAATATTTGGAGGTATTTTCTTTCAGTTAAAACACAACGTTTTATGTTACTGTTGTACATTGTATTGTATTGTAAAGCGCTCAGAGCCTGTCTACTTTAATCAGAGTTGAGCGCTATATAAATGTCATTTATTATTTTTATTTTTATATTAATTTATGTCTCTCTCTCTCAAGTCCAGGATACTCTCGTGCTACATATGCATCAAACCATGTAGCTATATCAATGAGAGGAGCAACCCCACTTTTAGACAACCCCCCACTCCTTCAGATTTTCCCAGCCAGAAATAACCCCTTTTTTTCCCACGTGATCCCTCAGACCACAGTAATCAGGAGAAGGTGAAGAGCGTGATTGAGCACATCATCCGGCTCCAGGATTACGTCACTCACATACAGAGTCTCAACATCACCTCAGCAGAGTTTGCCTATCTCAAGACTTTGGTGCTATTTGCTCCTGGTGAGTGTAGCTTGACTCCACAGACACACAGGGTGTGCACACATCCACTGCTCAAGTGTAAGACTCCACCATCCATCACTCTCGAAACAGTGTAATGCGATGCGTACATTGACATTTTAACATGCACACACTCATGTACATGACCACTGTTACCCTCTCATATAAAAAATAATATGTATATACATATACTCGAACATTCTCTTCCTCACATGTACTTTCACATTCCCACTCATACATGCTCGTACTTGCAGATTTGTATACATGAAAGATGTTGGTGTTGTCGCTTGCTAACCACTGATCAAACTTATGTCTTTGATTTTTTGGAGCTTACTTATCTCAGTGTCTTTGACTTATTGAAACTGTCTTACTTTATCTGTCTTTGACTTGTTGGGACTGCCTACTTTCCTTTGTACATCTAAGAGTTTTTGGAGTTGACTTACCTAGACCTGCATGTTTGCCGACAATCGTCTGAAATCCGACAAGCCGGCCGATGCTATCGCTAGGCTAGGCCCACCTGTATCAGTCAATGTGTGTAGTGCGAGGCCTGGCTGACTGCCAGCGCCCCCTTTTTCTCCCGTCGGCTTTGTCGGCACTTTCGTTTTCGTGCCGACTGCTGACGTCGGTGTTTCCGACATAATTGTCGGAACCTGAGTAGAAATGCGAATACGAAAAAGGACGACGACCTAAATTATCTACTTTCAGTTTCGTGCTCGAGCAGCCATTTTGAATTTCATTTGTTGACTTATTCAATTGTTCAGATCGTGTGGATTAAGTCCGACTCACTTGTTCTAATAGAATCTAGATCTAGATTTATAGATCATTATAGACCTCAATGGAGGATTCGTATTCCAATTCTATTGTGTCAAACCCTATCATAGGTTGTCCTGTAATATTAATGTTGGTAAAAAGCATTTCATCAGGTGCGTGAATATTTATTTATTTAGGCTAGAATCTAGTGTCTAGATCTAGATCTAGACTCAGCTGAGTCCCTCTGTTCGGAATCGGATGCGGATTTCTAGTTCAAGGCCTATTCCTATTCACTTGTTCTAGATCTAGATTTATTTAGATTACTAGTTCTATATGGAGGATTCATATTCCAATTCTATTGTGTTATTGTATCAAACCCTATTATAGCAATGTAGATGTAGGCCATATTTATGCTCCTTGTTTGTTTTGGAGTGTGGTTTTTTTTGTTGTTTTTTTCTCATTTTGGACTTTTGCTGGCCTTTTTACATGAGGCCTCTTGCGGGTTCTTTTTTGGGTTAGGGTTAGGTCTCATCTTTATTGTGTTTGTTGGGGTGGTCGCTCGTTACTCGGAAGTCCTTCCTTATGACACCCACAAAAGGGGGGGGGGGGGTTGCGCAAAATTTTCAGACAATATGGTTGAGGCTCACATGCAGGTCTAACTTACCTTTATCTGTCTTTGACTTATTGGAGCTAACTGCTTTGTCATTGACTTCTTGAAGTTGACTTTCCTTTTTGTGTCTTTCCTGTGTCAGACAACCCCAACATCCGGGACAAGCGTGTGATCAGCAGACTACAGGAACGTTCTCGCCGCGAGCTGCTACAGGCTTGTTCATCGCCAGGGAGCTCTGAGCGTGTCTCTCAGCTGCTGCTCCGCCTCATACCTCTAAAAACTTTTGTACCAGCCGTCATGGAAGAGCTCTTCTTTTCTGCGCTGACGGGATCGGTTCAGATTGACAACATCATCCCGTACATCCTACGGATGGAGACGGCTGAGTACAACCTGCAGATGACAGGTCAGACTGGAGCTGCGGCCGTGGCGGGGATCTCGGGGGGGGTTGGGGTGCCAGCGCTGCACGACCCCAGTGCCCCCAACCAGCCGCCCAGCGTGCCTGTGATCCTCGAGTCGAGCCAGCAGGTGGCGCTTGCCGCTTCGGCGACAGAGGCGGCCACCATCAGTGTAGGGGATGGGATTGCCAATGGCAGCAGCAACGGCAACATTGTGACCGCCACCAGCAATGGTGGGGAGGTCCGGCTGGTCAGCAGTGGCACAGGCAGCACCAGTGGCCAGGGGGTTGCCCTGGGCAACAACAACATGGCAGGGGCCAGTATACACCGTGCTTCTCTGCTCTCCGATGCGGGACAGGTCTTGACTCTTTACACAGACGGCACGGCTGCGACTCAGAACTCACAGGCTGCCTCCACGTGAGGATTGGAGATCGTGAAGACACATTGCCCCTAGTGCTTCATCTGGCTTTTACATTATCTTTCATTGATATCATAATTCTCTCCC